GCGCGATGAGCAGGAAGCCAAAGCTCCCTGCTGATGAAGCCACGGAATACGTGGTGCTTGGTATGTATATCCCTTTCCGCGATCGTCGCAGTCCTCATTGAACGTAGGTTCTGCAGCGCACTTGTTGACACAACCAATAGAAAAAGCGTCCTCCGCATTGTTAAGAATCGGGATTGTAATCGGCAGAACTAGCTGAAGAGACTTCGTGTCGAGAAAGGTGAGCGTAGCGCTTTTATTACCGACAAATTCATTAATATCGTAGAAGGTTGCCTATGAAAATTCCGCTTCAAGAAATTTGCCGACTGCTGTTCCCTACCTCGGCGAATGACACCAAACGTCCGAAAAACTACGTGCACTCTTTAAACGTTAGCTACAAAAACCTCAAAATTTGAAGTTAAAAAAAAAAAAAAAAGACATTCTTTGAAAAACATTTTTCGAGTTGTTTGCTCAAAAGTACGAAAGCCTCGCTAATGATAATAAATAAATTATTAACAAAATAAAAAAATAAAAAAAATATATATATATAATAAAAAACGAGCATTTCGGTAATGCCAGTAATGGAATACCGTTACTTCGTATTTCTTTAGTAGTGTTTGGCAAAACAAACTCGACGTTGTTTACATTGTTTGCTTCATTTTCAAAAGTCCACGAAAGGGGCGCCATTTATTGCTCGCGCGAGATCAAAGGCATTTTGCTCGAGATTTTCCTTCGGCCACTGCGTAATTTTCGTAATACATGAATAAATTAAAGGCAACCTGCAGGGCAAATATTAAGAATCCCTAACGAGAAAACGTAGTGCGCAGCGTCAAAGTAAATAATATTAAGAAAGAAAGGAAAACGTCAGTGCAGATGGGCACGTAAAGTGCTTGTCATCGAATTTTAAGACACACGGAGTTCGGAAGAGGGGGAAAAACATGTAATAGCCAGGAAATACCGCAAACACGGCACACGATTACCGACCTCGGCGCGCAAGTGAACCAAGGGAGAGATTGGCCATAAGTATGGCGCCTAGAACGCGTCTCCGACTGGTGTGCTTGCCACTACCAAAGAAGTGGTCCCTCGATGTCCGCCTGATGACGTCACAAAAGTGTCACGCTGTCGCTGGTCGCGATCCTGGCGGTGTTCCAGCAGCGATGGTGGATGGAGCAGACCAGTGATTTCCCTACACACCACCTAGAAGGGGAGTGGGGTGCACCCCCCCCCCCCCCTTGTTTTTCTGAAGGCAACACTCCTTCAGTGCCGTGCCCCCCCCCCCCCCCCCCCCCTTTAATACACATCGTGCAGTGCAAAAATTACATACGTTTCTGCTCTTTCGACGATCGTTACATCGTTGCACTATGCCATAGCAGGGCCCAACGCAAAACGAAACAGCGGTATCACAAGCAGTTGAAGATACGTAAAGGATGCGGCGACCGTTGCACGGAAGAAGAGAAGACCGTAAGCCGACGTCCTATTTCTCATCGGGGAAAAAAAAGAACAGGAGTGTTCTCGGATTTCACCGCTCGCGCTGTGGTAGCGCCAGCAAGAGGTCCCCCATCTCCCCCAGGACGCTTTGGGCATCCTCTTTATCCGCCTCTTCCTCTTTTCGGGACCGCTATTCTTTAGGTTCTGAGAGGATTTTAACGATAAAGGAGGCTATGGTTTGGCATATAAAGGCGCCAAAAAACACGCACCTACCGTAATATCCCGAGAGATAGCCCACCTAAAATCACAAGCAAACCGGTTGAAAAAATATTCCCATTTCTTGACCTGCGAAAATTGCCACCGCAAGGAGGGGGCGAATAACCAAAGACGACTGTCCTTCCCAGTAAGCAACGACTGCTTATCCCCCGCCATAGTAACACCATCAGAAAAGTCCCCACAATCACTAGATGTGATTGCAGAGACTTTCGCCGTTTTCGAAAAAAAAAAAAAAAAAATTATGCCAAAAATAGGGGTGGGTTAGCTTTCGAAGGTTGGGCCTCTCTCGGTATATTACGGTATTGCATTTCTACACGAAAGGCTACACAGCACTACAATTAGAAACGCAAAAGCCGCTTCACTTTAAATTTTTTTTTTTTTTTTATTGTTGCGGCTTTGTTAGCAATGGAACACGTGACACAGGTAATGAAAGACGAACATTAGGGAGTTTAAGAATAGCGCACGCTAAGGCTTTGCGCACGCAAAGAATAGTGTCGTCACCACTGCGCATGCTCCGAACGCAAACCAGGCTTTACGCTTTGCGTGCGCGGGGAAGGTACGATGTGCGACGGTCAGTACGACACCTCTCTTGTCGAGGCGACGCAAGCGGACACGACCGGTCAACCGCTCGCGTCGCATTCTCATATTTAAACAAATCTAAATTAGTACTCGGAACCAAAAAAACTTGTTTTTTTCTAAAGTTGCAGCATTTCGTGTGTGAAGTAAAAATTGTGACTATCTTGGTGGCGTCGCAAGCGCGAGCTGATAGGGTTTTTGCGTCGCGACGGAGAAACGCAATTCTAAAACTCTTGCGTCGCGTGAGCTAAATTTAGCGCTAACGTGCGCTAAAATTGCGTACGTTATTCTAAAACTCCCTATTATCACGAGAATAGGGAGTATTAGAATAACGTACGCAATTTTAGCGCACACTAGCGCTAAATTTAGCGCTTGTATTAGCGCACGCGACGCGAGAGAGTTTTAGAATAGCGTTTCTTCGTCGCGACGCAAAAGCCCAAGCCTCTCGGGTTTGCGACGCCACCAAGATAGTCACAATTTTTTTTTTTTTTCACCCACAAAATGCTGTAACTTCAGAAAAAAAAAAAAGTTTTTTTTTTTGGTCCAGAGTATTATTTTAGATTTGTTTAAACATGAGAATGCGACGCGAGCGGCTGACCGGTCGTGTCCGCTTGCGTCACCTCGGCAAAAGAGGTCTCGTGTACTGACCTTCGCACATCGTACTTTCGCCGAGAAATGTTCGCGCGTCACAAGCATCAAGTTGCCGGTGATCGTTGCCAAACCGAGTACAATGTCGTCCCGTATTGAAAATCGCGTCACAAGCATCAAGTTGCCGGTGATCCTTGCCAAACCGAGTACATTGTCTTCCCGTATTAAAAATCGCAGTCGCGAGGATGCCGCCGACGTCGCACTCACGACGCCGCCAAAGCAGCCGCCAACAAAATCCTGGAAGCCGCCATTTTTTTAACTCTGCTCGTCTTGGCTTTAGCCAACTTCTGAATCCTCCCTGGAAAAGCGCAAAGACTCTTTACGTGCGCACGCTATTTCCGAGAAATAGCGCACGCTAAAATTGGGCACGCAAAGCGCAAAACTTGGTTTGCGTTCGGAGCATGCGCAGTGGCGACGACGCTATTTGCGTACGCAAAGCTTTAGCGTGCGCTCTTCTAAAGCTCCCTTATGACTACCGCAGACGCGGAACACCATTAGAAAAATTTACTCCGTAGAGAATATTTAAAAATCACAAACCTTACAAAAAAAATAATAAAAATAAAAAAAAATAAAAGAGGAAAAGTAAGTGACACATATGACACAACGCGGATGACGGATTCTTCGTGAGCTCGCTTCCACGATTGAATACGGGAGTAAAATGCTTCCAGAAGACTCTCGTCTCGACTTTTTGTATCATAGCAGCTGTGCCACGTCTCGCTGGACCTCTACGGGCTTTGCGTCAGCAAGCGCTACGTACGCTCTCAAGCAACGCAACAATAGCCGTTCTCGAACTGGTATCCCTCCGAAAAGTTCAAAGGTTGCCTGTGACAATAGATAAAACAAAACAATGGTTCCTACATCACACGGCTAATTTTCCGCCGTAACTGTCGACAACGCAGATAGTCACAACGAAGGACGCGACAGTCAGCCTTCGACCACTGCTGCCTCTTCATGAAGTGGTTCTTTTCCCCAAAAGGCAACGAAGGTTCAAGGATGGACATGGACGAAGATCAAGTAGCGTTAATCGACAGCGAGAAGAAACACCCCCCGGATAAGCATCTTGCATATCCAGCACGCTTCGCGGCTACCGAAAACTCTGAGAAGGAGCAAGTGCTCAGGGAAGCCGACTTCAAGGTTTGTAATGTGCGGTGGTGTCCCTCCGGCGTGTGCGCTTTGCACGTTTTATCGAGAAGAGCGCTCTGCCGTCCGCGTGTACAGCTGTGCTATTCAAACTGTTACGCCCCTCCGTCAAGTGTTTACTCCATTTGACAAAACATGAACGAGCGTCAAATGCGTCGATAAAAGGAAGAGTGAAAGTGCGCTCAAACCTCCGCACGCATGTGACTGCACGCAGAGCATCCCCCGGTTACGATAGAAAGCGCCGGAGCCTCCGGAAAGGCTTAGGCAATTACACCATGATTCTCACATTTTAACCACAGACGTGCGACCGCAGCGTTTGAAGAAGTTATTACAACTCGCGAACAGTCATTGCTCGGCACGCGGGTCCACCGGGACGGGCGTCGGATGACGGACTAGGTCGTTAAAAAGAAGAAAAAAGAGCAAACACGCAGTCTTCCCATATACGGCAACATACGCCGCCGCTCGGCACGAACGCCTCGCCTCGAGTCTGGCTTCCCGTGCGAGCGCCTATCCCGGCTCGGACAGCACGACGCGAGCGATAAAAGCGTTGAAAGGGGATCTTACCTGTATCTCCTGGAACTTTAAATGTCCCCGCGGGACTCCGTGTAGTTTGGAGCCGTGTGCAGATTACCCTCAAGATGGCGGAGAATAATGCAAAAGAAGGAAAAATCAAAGGTCCTCTTGACAGCGGAAATGACGTTGCAAGGGCTGGCGTGCTCGCGCTGAAATGGGAACCGCATGAACGTTCAGCGGCTCAGCGCGGATATGGCGGAAATACATGTGCCGTTTTACTTATGCTGACTGCGCGTGCGTAAAGTAGCGCGATACATTTTCGCTCTTTGTAATTTAATTTTTGTGTTAATGCTAAATTTCGTTTATGAATTTATTACATATAATACTCTGTTATGTGATTACGATCTTGAAAGAACATATAACGCGTTACATTGAAATGAATGATACGTGGTTGTTGCGCCAGTCTGCCGCTTGGGGTTGGGTATTCGGTGCTGGTCGTTCCGTGTATTTGTTTTCTAGTCAGCCTGTTTTCTTTTTGCGTGCCGTTGCAAATTTCACAACCTGAGTTGTGCACTTTCGCTTGCGATATGGGACGTCTGGGCCTTCGTTGTAGCAACACGGTCGTGGTCCGCTGTCTAATCTGTTCACGGTTTGATGCGTTAAGAAGATCCCAGCAGCAGATTGGTCTTATCAGCAACGATGGCAGACAACAAGTTCGGCCGAGTTCGCTCAAAAATTGCGCAGCTGTTTAGCACCTACGGTGTGTCCAGAAAAAGTACAAGTTTCGAGGACGAGTCGGAATCTGGCGACGAAGAGTTGTTGGACATTACGAGCGCTCGTCTCAATCTTATGGATGACAGGGAAGACTTCTGCTTGTGCCGACGATGTCGCACCTTCGGTGAGCCTGGGTCCCGCACTGGGCAGCCCTGCCAAGCGAATGGTTCTGTGGAATACCCGGCGAATCTATCTTTGAGAGCACCCAACGCGGACGAAAGTCCTGTTGTGATTACGAACTCTTCCGTTCACTACAATACAGATAGTGTCGAGCGCACGTCCCTTCTTTACGTGAGTACACGGTTGACGTCCAGCTTGTAACAGCCTGTCAAACAATTATAAGAAATGTGCTCGCCGTATTTGTGCTTTCTAGACCGCGTAAGACGCGATTGGAAGAAGATATTAAGCGTGTTTGTTTACCTTTCTACCTTTTTTTAGGATTCCAGTGAAGATGATCAGGCAGATACGCTGCACTGTCATGCGCGAACACCAGCGCGCTACTCCTCCAAGATCGCACAGAGGCAGCTCATTGCGAGTAGCCTCACATGCCTCGCCTTTATGACAGCAGAGATCGTAGGTATGTATTGCGACTATGCCTTACTTGAGACATGCTGTTAAAAATTGCATATCTGAACTCCTGTAATACAGCCATAAACACCTATGTTGCTCAGAATGGGAGGTTTTACTTCTAGCAGCGTTCTTTGAGTGTGGCGAATCTGTGTTAAACCTGTCAAAGCGAGTTGGAAAGGTAGCAGCGTTTGCAAAGAGTGACACATGAGAGATCCTGATGAATGCCTTTGGACAGTACTGAAGGGTATTGTGTTTATTTATTGATTTATTTGATAATACTGCCAGCCACCTACAAGGTGGCTAAGACAAGGGTGAGCATTGCTTGAGCAAAATACAAAAAAAACAAGACAGAAAAAAAAAAACAGCAACACAATATTAAATAAAGGCAATATGATTGAGGATACTGGTCAATCTTTAACTGTGGGACTTGGCACTGATTCAGTGGTCCATAGAAGCTCTTTCATAGTAAAACCTAGGTCACCATCTTGTGACCTAGGAACAGATGCCTGCAGTAGCAAGTTATCAGTGGCCTTCTCCTTTGGTGTGGTAGAGAAAAGGTACAGTCGTGCCAAGAGTTAATGATGCTGTCTCAACATTTTCTTGTCGAATTTCTCGTTCAATTTTCTAAGCTATGCTGTCAACAAGCTGTTAAGCATTAGGCCATTTCAAGTGATTCGTTAAATATGCCTCTCATACAAACAGTTGTTCAGGTTCTGCAACTTTCCTGAGCGAAGGCGATGTATCGGAAACAGAAAAGGTCAGCTTCAGTGTAAAACTTTGTGGCATCATGCTTGTAGGGAAGGCCATCTCTACCAGGTGTCCAAAAGTGTGAAATGACTGACCTACCATATTTTCTGGACTACAGTCCACACCCAGCACATACCCTAAAAAGGCAAATTTTTGTCAAAAAATGTATTTCCTTCGGTAGTCCGCACCACCGTAGAAGAGAGGGGTCTGAACGACGCTGCCTCGGTGTGGAAAAAGTCTGTCGAAGATTCAATTGCATTTCTGGCGCCGTGAGAATGCACGGCATGTCTAGGGGGTAGGAGACCCGTGAGAACCACTCGAGGAGCCGTCCTTATTCGGTCACACATTTTCAAGGTCGTGCGACGTGCATGACCACGCCTGCACAAAGGACCCTAAGCAAATAATACCCTTGCCGGGAGATGGGCAAAGCCCGAGCAAACGTTTTCTACCCTGGCTGGCCTTGTTCAGACACCTTTCTTTCCCTGGTGTGCATTGGGTGAATAGTGTCTGGTTGGCATAAACAAAAATTCTCATGCACCTTGACAATTGCCCGCTTTATTAGCCCACAAGGCAGTTTGTATCATACATAAGTCGTCATCCATAAATCGCTAATAACTTGTTTTTAAATCGTGAAATAATCATCATTTGAAAACTCCGTCGCATCTTGTCACAGTGATCGATGTAGGAGAAACAACTTCTCGTGCAGTCCGCAACTGTAGATAGCCTGCACCACATAAAATTTTAACTTTTAAAACATGTACAATCTGGGTACCATGGTTAGAAAAATATGGTACATGATTCTTAGTTGATCTGCTCGGGTGAGTTGCTCTTGGGCATTGTATTTGATATGCATAATTGTTATAAAGCCTAGCTGGAGTGCTCCCTATAAAAAAATGTCGGCATTTTTTTCAGGTATCGAATACTGGTTGTTCTTATACTGCAATATAGATTTTGAAGTTTATGCCTTAGCCCTGGAGGGTTGGGACAAAAAGGACAAGTGAACATGAATTATTAGTTGCTGGAGATTCATGTGTTCCTTTTTGTCTCCACTCTCCCTGGGCTAAGATGCTTGAAGTATCAAGTCGGCTTGCCTGAATCCTTGCTTTAGCTTAGTAGTTATGGTGGTGGTTAGAAATGCAGGGTGCAGCTTGTGTGAGTGAAGCCAAAGGTACAAGTGCAAGCATGTTGTCCCGAACAATGATTCCAATGCACCAGGGTGCATGCTTGGCTGGGACGCTGAAAGTTCACAGCTTGTTCTTGCAGCTTTTGCTACGCTCACACATTAAGTGAAATGTAGTATAGAAAGTCCATGGTGCCAGAAAGGTGGAGTCAGCAATGAAAGGTGCAAAAGACGGGGAAACTTGTAAGTCGTGTCAAGCATTATAGAAATAAAATAAAGTCGCTTTGAGTTTTTATACAGACAATGGCTGCTCTTGGTTTGGAAATCGGGTGCAACACACGTGCAAGAATATTTATTGCATGTCCAAAGGTAGATGCGTGACGTGACGTCCATGAAATGAACTTTATCGCCTGTCTCAGGTAGTGTTCTGGTTCTATTTTTGGGGTCTTGCACAGCTGAAAAATGGTGGGAGCTGAAACAAGTATTATTTGATGGTGTATGAGTCGCACCTTTCTCTTTCAAGTTTTGGTTTTGCATGCCAAGCCAACAAAGGGCATGCATCTGAAACACACCAGCGGAGGACCAAGGATTAATTTCGACCACCTGGGGGTCTTTTGATGTGCAATCATAATCTTGGTTACACGCACTGTTTAGCCAAGGTTTTGGTTGCGCGGTGCACAATAAGCCTCCGTTAGATTGCTGGCATGTCGGCCGGCAATCTTGCCGATTGAGGTTGTTGAGGGTAGTGGGTGGGTTCAAATCCCGCCTAGGCCGGGATTTGAACCCACCAGCTGTAGTTCCATAAAACAATGCTTCGCCTTGGACGACGCGGGCAGCGCATGCTGCAAGCTAAATGTCATCGCTGGCTAATAACGCTACACGAATGGAGACGTGTGTGTTGAGCAGTGCATTGATCACTCGTCTCTATAGGCATAGATTGCTTGCCATTTTGCGAGAAACCCAAATTTGTGTGAAAGGTAATATAGTTTAAACAGTCCTTCCCCCTTGACACTGGAAGCCTAAAAACCACTTGCAAGCCATATCATCTTTGGTCTACAGTGCAATCCACTTAAAACAATAACGAGAAAAACCTGAAATTTCAATTGTTATAACCGATTATCCTTGTATCTGGACTAGAATCTAATCATTTCTAGACTAGAAACTCTAGAAACTGATCGTTATAAGCATTACATCGTTATATGTGGTATCGTTACAAGTGGATCACACTGTATACTGTTTTGTCGTAACTTGGGAAAGAGCGAACTCTGCAGCCCCTTCGAGCCAACATAGGTGAAGCATGTGACAGCCCAGGTGCAGGGTCGACAGCGTAACCGAATCAGTTGGAGAATGAAGGAAGGATGAACTCCCCTCTACACTGCACTCTCTTTTTGTGTGTCTCGGATGTCGCTTTTGTCTCCCTCAAAGATTAGCCCGTCACTCAAAATCAATTCAAAAGTGACTTTTCTCTCTCTCTCTCCCCTACCCTTCACTTCAACAGCGCTGCATGCAACTAGTGAGACAGAGAATAGTCACGTCTCTCCCTCCGACATACTAATTGGCCCACTGGGACTGTAGCCATCACCATTTGCCAAATTACTGTGGGCCGTGGTACGGAGTATAGGACGAAGTATATTCTGGCTCCTAGTGAAAGGCCGTAAGAATGAGGAACCTCAGAATAATCAGCATAATAGATTTGGTGAATGGGACACACAAATATTTTTGAAGCTGGGTTTATAAAGTTGTGTTTATCAGCTTTAGTCATTGATGTGTGAAAATCATCCTGACATTTGTGATGAAAGTAATTCAACATTATGAGACATTGGTAGCATTTAGGGGTTTCGCTTTTCTTTTCTGGTGTACCATGTCTGCCTGAGCTGAAACTAAAACCACCACCATCATCATCATTTATTCCTTCTTGAAGGCCCTTACGGGTATTATGCAGTGTTGGAGAACTTCGTTACAGGCTGGAGAACTTTGTTATATAAAGCAAGAAAAAGGCAACTAATTAAACAAACTGAAAAAAAATACGGAAATAACACATTTCTACAAGCACAAATCGAATTTGCTCTTAGTGCAGCGGCAAATGGGTGGTTAGTTGGTATATGATAGAATGTGTTATGACCTGTCTGGGTCACGGTACTGTTAGGCAGATTATTCCAGTCTATTATTGTTAATTGCAAGGTGGAGTTAGGAAACAACATTAATGCCATTCTCATTGAAACTTCCTCCAGGGGGATACTTGTCCAACAGCCTTGCCATCATGTCAGACGCCGCACATCTTTGCGCCGACCTGGCAGGATTCGTGATCTCCATTTTTGCCGTTTGGATTGCACAGAAGTCACCCACGAAAAGAATGTCCTTTGGGTTCTACAGAGCAGGTCTGTTGACACTTTGTGCTGATAGCTTGAGCGTGCATTTTGAAATACGTCTTGCAAATTATTGGGATTGAATTTTGATAATTTGATGCAGACTGCGTGGCTTAGTTTTACTGCTTTGTGTGGTGAAATGCATAGGCAGGTATTATTAACAAATGAAATGTGTATGATGAAAACTGCCATGTTCTCATTTTATGTGCTATGAAAAAGTTGCTAATATTTATTTTATTGTGTCCGCAAAACACACTTTACAGCACTTAGAATGCATGTTATCACATAGAAATTTCTCTGGTTAGTTGGCTGCAGGAAATCTAATTGTTCTTTTGGCAGATTTTCATGTTCAAGTACAGAACTCTTGTACTGCATTCAGGCAGATGGTGTCACCGACCCTTCAGTTGTGGCTGCCTTCCTGAAGGGCAGATGCGAGTGTCCCACAATTGAATTAAATTTATTCACGAAATTAACATGTTGTTTACAGAAGAAATTTAGTATTAATATAGTAGCATCTAGTGGGTTCCAGCGATATAGTGTGTAGGATTTACGTTGCTGCTACCCACCTCAAAGAATTACACAACATACTAGTTCAACATCACATAGTCATTTATTGACTGTTGATGGTGCACACCGCGACCCAAAAGTCTCTTGTGCGTATGCTGTGCCGGCCTTTTATCAGCGGGGAAGTGCCGCTTTTATGGTCACTTGCACTTGGCCACCTTGCAATGGAAATTACCACAGACAGTTGCCCAGAAGTCACCTCGGCCATAATTATTTGCGTGTCCTGATCCCTTCGACATTCATGCTTGGCTCATGAGCAGGGTTCTCCTCAGAAAGCTTTTGAAGCTGTAAGAGATGGACATCAGACAGCTGCAGGGGTGGGGGAGGAGGAGGAGGCCCTCTATCTAGTGCACAGCAATCCGGCTCATTGTGTGCCTGCAAAATTGGCGTTGTCTAGTTCAGAGGTTGGCAACCTTTAGCTGCGGCGGGCTGAGGCGTTACGAAGCCGACATGGTGGGGCCAGATGGCAAGTCGCAAATGGAGAGGACGTAGAAAAGGCAAAAAGAAATAGAAGGTGTTCTCTGTTCAAGTATGGGAATGCCGAACAATGCCAGTGTACTCTTTTTTGAGTTATGAGTGCCGCATGGCGATTTGTTTGCAAACTACAAATGAAGGGCAGCCCAACAGGACTCCACTCATCAAAACACTTGTGCCATTGTATCAGTTTTCATTGCTTTTTATGCCCCATGCTATCAATAAAGATGGGTGCTTACAATGGTTGGTCGAGCGGGATGGTGCCTTTTAAAAATGGAGAAAGCGGGAAGCAAGGCTAGGGGAGAGGGTGTGCGCACGTGCAGAAGCTTACTGGACAAAAGTCCATTGGAAGTGCTCCTTGTTTCTGTCATGTCTAATTCACTTGAGGTCAAAACTGCCATGTGTTCCTTGTGTATGTGTGAGGAAGCTGCTCCAAAATCCAGATTTTTCTGCTCCAAAAATTGCTCCAAAACCTGTTTCACCTGTCTCACCCCTGCGGGGGCGGCATAAAACTGCCTCGCCGGCCCGTGGCTTGCCGACCCCTGGTCTAGTCCAACCTTGGCAAAATCTATAGGTGGGTGTGACATCGTAGAGATGAGTGGTCAACAGAATTGCTAGGCGACATATCCACTGTGGCTTACTGCGGGGAGAACACTGCTCATAAGATAGGCTTGGTTTTTCTCACTAGGCTCTGTAGTCTTCTAGTCTTGTTTCACGTTTACCTCAATCTTTTTCCACGATACAAGATGAAGATTATGCCAATATAGCCTGATTATGGTATTGCTTTCTGTTTGCTCTCTCCCTGCACTCTCAGAAATCCTAGGTGCAATGGTCAGTGTTGTGTTCATATGGGTTCTCACTGGCATCCTAGTCTACACGGCTGCACAGAGGATATACCACGACGACTATGACATTGATGCGGACATCATGCTCATAGTCTCTGGCACTGGAGTTGCCATGAATATCATGTAGGTACACAGATCAACAATCTTGTATGCAAACTTATAAATGTTGGCACATTGGTCGCTGATCTTGAGAAACATGACAGGAAACTAAGTCACATTCTTTTCTCGTCGCGAAAATAGATCAGTCTTTCCAGATTGTGGATGTTTGATTACCGATTGCTTGGTTTCGTATCAAAGTTCATTTAGCAATTAAAGGTCCACTGAAAAGAAAAAGTTTTTTTTTAAACAGTCCAGTTGGGACAAGCGTGTCAAAAAATAAATTTTATGTGAAAACAAAAATTTTTTAGAGCCATATTGACGGCGCAAGATTAATTTCAAATTCTCCACAAAGTCCATAATATCACAGAATACTCATACACTCTTTCCACCTCAACATGATGGCCAAGCCGATCCACCTCTCCTCCACGCATCCGAAATGCCGAAGGCAGAGATGGAAGTGCTGCGCCAATTGCGCCAAATTGCGCCAAGGACGCAATCCTGCTACATGTAGCGCCAAATTGTCATTTTACCGAAGAATTGCGCCTTGCCTGCGCCGAGATGAGATGTAGCTATAGAAAAATAAAAATTCAAGTCTGATCAGAGCGCGTCGCGGTACCGCGGTATTTTAAGCGCCGCAACTGTTACGCAAACCGAAACTGCGAGGACGCATTATCATCATCATCATTGAAAGGAACAACGTTGGCAACATCTGAGACCAAAGCCGCAGAGGATAACTAAGAACCATCCCACTAAGCAGCTTACTTAAAAAAAAAAAAAAAAGGTTGAGTTTGTGGATGTTTTTAATGTTGGCCCGCCCTGTTCCTGTGCGCTATACTCTGTTTCATACTTAGCGTGCAACGCTGTCAAAGCTACTGGCGCGAGAGCGTGGCTTCATCTATGCTTTTGTTTGCGCGAGAATGCGTGCAAATGATCAACGAGATCAAGCCTTACGCTCGCGCCAGTAGCTTTGACAGCGTTGCACACTAAGTATGAAACAGAGTATAGCTTACCAGCGAAGTCAAAGCTAGCGCGAGCCCAATGCTCTGTGCATTCCTGACTCGCGCTTGGGCTCGTGCAGTGTGGACACCGTTATGGGCTCCATGCGCGCGCTTGTAGCTTCGGCTGCGCTCGCACCGAAGCTGAAACGAAGTATAGCTGAGTTGCACCAAACTCTGGATGTAGTGCTGGTAAAGCCTCACAGTCCTTTTCGGAGCACAAAGCACTGCACGACTCGCGCGACTGCGGTAGGGAGCCTTAATGTGCGCTTTGCTAGGGTGGTGCCACCCTTTGTAATACCACTCGCCGACAAACCAGCAGCCATTTTGGTCTCGGCGATAATCCGTGGGGCTTATAACCCTCCCGGAAACAAGCACCTTATCTCACAAGTTCGGAGCAGCTTTGTGGAACCCATGGAGGGAGGATTAGCATTTCCCCCGTCGGATGGGGGGACCGATAGATACAAAGGCCACTTTCCGGCGCATGGGAAACGCACGGGGAAACAATGAGGAACAAAATGGCGGAGGCGTAAAGGGAAACAGGCAGTTGGCATCACTCTATGCGAAGCGCACATGAAGGCACCCTAGACTGCGGTGTCTGCTCCGTGGGTGTCGCTTCTCTGCAGCGCGTCGGTGCCTGCCAAGGAGCGCACTCGACGGGTTAACTCGCCGTGATCCGATCGTGACTTCGCCAGCACATCGAAAATGAGGCGGAATTTTTGAAGCGAATATCAGATGCCGGAATATTTGAAGCTGCTGCCCGAAAGACAACTCTAATCTGAACTAAAACATTCCACAACAGTGAGGGTCGTTACATGGTGCTGCAGATACCTTAAAAGAAGTGCAGGCTGATAAAGCTAAATATCCTGTACCATCAGAACTCAGTGTGACATATTTAATTGTTTTTTTTTTATCTGACGAGCCGATAAGCCTTATTTAAAAAAAAAAAATGTTTGTTTTTTCGTGTTTACTTTGTTGAATTTTATATATCCTGTCTTAAAAAGGCAACAGGCACTGTGTTTCAATAATAGAGGTGGGCTTTATATAGCAATGCAGCATTATTTAATTTTCAAATAATATGCCAGCTTATGCCGGACCCTGCTCCAAAAGGGCCACTACATGCTCCAAAACAACATTTTGCCTGCTACAAGGCCTGCTCCAAAAGGTCAAATGGCACTTCCATCACTGCGAAGGAGAAAACAAGCGGAAAGGAAGCGATTAAATCGGGTCCCGTGCCGTCATTATTTTAAACAATTTTTTATTTTCGCGTAAATATTTCTTTTTCTTTTTTTTTGACACGCGTGTCCCAGTTAGATTGTTTAAAAAAAACATTTTTCTTTTCATTGGCCCTTACAGGTGATACCTCTGAGATCTGTGAATAGCCCTTTGACTCTAATTATGGTTCCGCTGTATAACAACAAACCAAAGCTTGTAATTGAATATTGCCCTTCAAAGGTTACTGATAAGCAAACAATATACAGTCTGAATTATAATTTGGAGAGCTAACCCTAACGATAAGTCTGCTGATTAAGTAAAATTTGTCTATTACCTTTTTAGTTAGTGAAAATAAACAGCTGAGCATCATCTCAAACTCCTAAATCAGTAAATTTTTGAAAGGCTTGAAGCAAGCGGGAAGTGTTTGAGTGCATCAAAGTTACTACTCGTGCAGTGGGTGCAGCGATGGCAGCGCGGAAACACCAATGAGATAGAAGGGCTTATAGCAATATTCTGGTATCCCGTTCACCAGGCAAAAGTGATTCCCCCCCCCCCCCCCCCCCCCCCCTGGCTCCTGCCATGTTGTACAATCTTGACCACTAGACACGTGACCGTACCAAATCCTGAGGCTTTTACGCAAAACTGAGCCGAGATTTGTATTGTGATCGCTCTAAAAAACATGATAAACTATTTTTTCAATACTGTTAGCCCCAGAGATCAGTGTAGCTCCGATAAAAACCCGAAATACAGCACCGCAGCTGACGGCGTCTAGCAGAGGCATTGCGAAGCTGCTTGAGTTTTTGTCGTAAAAGCATGTTTTGAACTTAAAACAAACAAAGCATAACTTATCTCGTCAGCACTGTTATTAAAGATCAATAAGCAATTATTTGTGCACGGTACTTCGTTAAAATTAAGACGTGAAACTTTAAGGTCACGTGTCTAGTGGTCAGAAATGTGCAACATGGCGGCGGCCAATCGGGGGTCGCTTTCAGCTGCCAGTTTATCGCTCTAGGCCCCTCTACCTCAATGGAACACACGGATGTAAAGATTATTGTGCGCCTTTTTGCACCACCAGCACTGCACCCATTGCGCAAGTGGCAACTTTAACGCACTAGCAAGTGTCTCAAGTCTTCAAAAAAATTTACTAATTTAGGGGTTTAAGTGACGTTCAGCAAGTTTGTAATTGGAAATGTATGTTTATTTTCACTAGTTAATAGGTTCAAAAACAAATTTTTGTTAATTATTTGACTTATGACGATTAGCTTCCTTTATTATCTCCCCTTGGCCGTATTGCTCACCTGCACAGACAGCGTAGTATACCTATATAACGACTTTTGTTTTTAATAAATCTGTTCAATTTAAAATCAAACACTCTGTGTAAGAGAGCAAGGAAGTAAAAAGATGATCTTAAACTTTTAATGGGATCATTCTAAATTATACTTGCTTATGGTTGAAAGTTTATGCTTTTTCCAAGTGACAGTTGTTGCCTGCAGCATGGGACTCATCCTGCATGGCTGGTGCCCCGTGGGGGGCAGCCACGGCCACAGTCATGGACTTCGGTCTTCTCACGGCCACAGCCACAGCGAGAGGTCCAACATCAACATCAGGGCTGCTCTCATCCATGTCTTGGGCGACCTCCTGCAGAGCATTGGTGTGCTGATTGCGGCATACGTCATCAAGTACAAGGTGTGGATGCTCGGAGCTTAACATCTTTAGGTCTTCCAGTTTGAAACCTCCAGCCATTGTTGCACCAGGGATCAGAAGGTGACGGGTAAAGCATCCTCGATGCCGGGTAAAGCATCCTCGATGACGCATCGAGCTTGCATGAGGGCTGGTCGTACACGTGCAGTGTGGCATGCCCAGGTGGCATGCCAAACAAAGAAATGCCCCCTTCCCCACCTTGCTTTTATAATTTGTCATAAAGTTATATTACGTGAAGTTCATTCTTTCTTCCATTCCGTTAAATTCAGGCAGATTCGGGGAAAATTGTTTCATAAACTGCACTCAGCTGAAGCTTATCTATTCGGAGAAACCTTGAGGAGAGACCCTCTGAAAGACCTACTTGTTTTAAATTTTTGGCTTCATTGATGTGTATCTGGTTGTGTACCACCATGTTTCAGGCAAGCTGCAGCATTGCAACAAAAAAAAACTACAAAAATTAGTGTACTCTCAGGTGCTGTGTGCGACATTTGAAATAGAATATGGCACGAGATGTCGTCGCAAGGATGTTGCTTGGAAGTGTTTTCCAAATACTGCCAAGGACTGTGCTGTCAGCCACTTACAACATACTGCTGTGGACACGGCAGTTATGAGTAGGCTGCCTTATACATGGTCATATCTGGGCTGCCTCGAGCGTGCCACTTTATCTCGGTACCTTATCGGGCTTTTTCCGCATCCTTAGACTGGAGTGTTCAGCCACACCAGTGGCTGAACACTCCAGTCTAAGGATGCAGTTGCGAACATTTGAAGAGCTGCTGAGGAAATGTCAAATGCCTGCATTCTGTGGAGCTCATTTTCGTTTTTTGTTTTTATTTTGTGCTGACACTCTTATTCGCCTTCAGATCGAACAGTGTCGCCACTGTGCGGCCGAAATTGGTAACATGTGAAAGGGGGTATCGCCGTGCGTCGTTTGCCACGGGCACACGTTCAGAAGCATGGATCTCGACGACGCAAGCCTCTTTCTAGCTGAGCTGGAACCCTCCCTATAATATGCTTGTTTTTTTATGTTTTCTCTTCTTGCTAAAGGTTGTGTTGTATCGTTTCAAGTGTGCGTGGAAATTCAGCAAAGCGATAAATATTAAGTCAAATGCTTTCATACTCTTAGTGCTGTGGTTCGTAGAACTGCTGGTCCTATACATTTTTGTTATCTCTCACAATCCATAGCTTTCATAAAGCATTGAATGCTGATAAGAGATGGGTGTTGAATAAAAAATTAACCCGATTGATCGCCACTCTTTTTTTAATAGACTAGTCAGTTAATGAATCCATTGTTTGATCTTTCTCCAGTCATATTACATGAAAAACGGTAAAACCACACATTATTTTGACTATTTTACTATGTCATGATGGCGCATTGATGAACCCACACTACCGAGAAGAGCATCTAATAACAGGCACGCTGCTGCGTTGCTCGGTTACACTCGTTTATTCCGCTTGCGGCATATATTAGAACAGTTTGTTTCACTTGCCGCAGTTGTCTTGCCAACAAACAGTTTGCGTATCGTAACTAGAACAGGCACTTTGTCCTCACCGCAACATAGTAAAATTGTTCCGACTCCGAAAAACTTACCTACGCCATGGCACAGTAAAGGAGAATCTTGGCTGCAGCGGAACTTTCTAACTCATAAAAGCTAGCAAAAGCATGATAATTTTCAATACAGCACTAACTTCTCTCAATGCAAAATATTGATATTAATGCAAAAAATAAAAGTTATGCAAAAAAAAAAAAAAAAATGTATACATAGGATTTGCAGTTCCACAACCCACAGTACCAGAATTATGTAAGTATCCGGGTTGGAATTCCTTGTTTTGTTAAATTTCTACGCTGGTAAACCATTACACCTTTATTAAAAGAAACATATTTAACATAAACAACCCAGTTCACCCGAAAACAGGCATTCGTCATGGTGATCCATGCTTCCCAATGTCTGCCTGGAGCAGACGACGCATCTGCACAAGTGATTATTTAAATTTAGGCCTTACGCTGGTAACACAAATCAATATTTATTGAAGCACCAAGCAGTACCGCATCTTTTACCGCTAATATTGTTTTCCCACCGATACAATGCGACAAAATAAATACAAGAGTGTACATACAACGTGGAGAGCCTATGGGGCAGTGATGCTTCTATCGCCGCTTCCATGATGATGATAGCGTGACCGTAGCACCACCACTAGGTCGATCTCGAGGCCAATAGGGGCCATCAATCAAGTGTAATGAATAAATATTTTTTTTTAGATAACTTTTATATTGAGTTAATTGTCTGGTTACTAGAGATTGAGCTTTGATAAGGCCAGGGATTGATAAAATATCTTTCCAGTTTCCTTAATTATACCCAATCAATTGACCCATTAATAAATGAATAATCAGTTAATTAGTTTTGTCACTTTTTCATTATACTATATAAATAAAGTGATAATTTAAAAAAATATGGTATTCATTGATGCCATATACAGCAAAAAAAATGTAAAGTTTGCTTTTCAGTGGGGGTATTTGCAACCATAGAAACAAGCACAAATAAATAGAAGTATCTTGGTCTCGAACGAAACATGACTTGGAGATGATTCGCTTGCAGTTTGTTGCTCAGTTCCACAGACAAAAATGTATGCACCCCATTTTGTGAACAACTGCTTTCCCTGTTTTTTGACGATCATCCCTGCCAGACTAAGGAAATGTTTGCATGGGACTGACATAGCTGGCACCTGTATGATCTTTTTCATGGCTAGAGCAACCTCTGACAGTGATATGCTTGTCACCTGTACAGCGTGTGCAGTTGGTTGCTGTGAAGTTTCTGTAGCAAAAATACACTTTACGCTTCCAAGTGTCGAGTGTCACTCACATGCATCAGGGGATGAAAGTGATGGCATGCTTGTGATGATCACAAGCGCATCATATCTGAAAGCAATATACCCAGTGTATTATCAATCATAGACCAGATATTTTACGTAAAACCTATGCTTTACTCAGAAACAAAATATACTGCACTGGTCACTGTCAAGGGGCCTAGCATATTTTTAGGTAATACCATTTAGGACAAGTAGGTTTTAAACTCGACTTGCTTAATTAACATTTTAATGGGTGAAAATGAATAGATGTAGTTCAATTATAAACTTGATGGCCATCATGAAAAACTACTAGACTATAGTCAATTTTAGAAAGATTTGGAGTTAGTGCTTCATTCTTCCGGATCCCGAAAAATGCATCTCTAATCTGACACACTTGCAAATTTTTTCTGTTTTTTTTTTTTTTTTATCTGCATTTTTGTTTGCAGACTTGCACCTGTAGGGAAAGTGGCAACTTTTTGTACCACCACACTTCCCATGCACACCAAGTCTTTCAAAAAATGACTGATTTAGTGGCTTTTGTGGATGCTCAGGAAGTTTCTAATTAGAACCAATGTTTATTTTTACCAACCTAAAACCTAATTATGCAAAACTATGTAAGAAAATAATTATCCTAAAAACAGCATACCTCCCTAAATTGGCCCCTCAACAGTAACCAATTTAGCAGCAATAATTTTTTTCTGTGATGCATAATTTTCACAGGAAAAGTTTGGCCAATGTTAGGGGAAGCAGCCGGTTAACAAATATTTTTTCGAATCCTTGCGGAAACCCATTGGCCATTTATGCCTTCCAAAAGGCTCATTCACGCACCTGTCTTTGACTGCGACCGACTATGCCATGACCAGCTTTCAAGCCTCTTAGGCTTAAAACCAGTTTTTAGCCTCTCCAGTCGTAAGCAATTGCAAGTGTGTGAAACAACCTTAAAAAACTCATTTTACTGCTTTAAGGTTTCACTATTATATGTCCCAAAATTGTCCCAGTCATTTCCCCTAGTGGCCAGAAAAGCTATCTGCGACTCCAATATAATTATAGGGGGAACGCTGGTCAGGCAAAATGGCGGACGAAAGGAGGTCGTTTTCGTCGTTCAGCACGCGGACCACCATAATTGTCTTGCATTGCAGCATAGAATCGGTATTACATATCAAAGCAAACCAATTTTTCGACGTTAAGAACCTTCTTCTAGTCAGTGCTTAGGAATGACACAGCGGAAGCATAAAATAATTACTGGAAACAATGTTTTTTTCTATGCTGCCTACGGGAAAGAAGCAGCGATAGCAGGCGACAGAGTTAAAACGACCTCCTCTCTCTTCTCGGCGTTCGCGCTACGCGGCGTCGATTTCGCTGGAGTTGCCACTAAGTCCTAGAACTGAACATACACACTAAGCTATAGGTAGGGTTCAGTGTTTTCAGATAAATTCGAAAAACGCTCGCTGGTAAATTTTCCGTCAGTTAAATTTTATTCGAAAAACTCTGAAACAAACTTTGAAAGAGCATAAGATGAGTGGTCCTGGGGGATGCAACTTCAGTTTCCTTTGAAATCTTGAAATAATGAGAAAAGGGGTTTGCTTTTTAGCTCTCAAAGGTTCCTTCAGAACAACAACTCATGGTACCCAGACATTATTTACTTAATTTTTTTTCTTAACTTTTTTTTTAAATTAGGAAAACAGCAAAATAAATTTATAATTTCAGAGAATTGGGAATCGAACAAGAGAATTACACGAGTACACTTAAGACTGCTTACATGTGGGAAAGCAAAAGCCAGTCAAGGACAAATTCTAGGACGACTTTTAGGACGTCTCTAGGATGACGTCAAGAGCAATGCCTAGAGGACGACGTCGAGAGTGACGCCTGGAGGAGGACACTTGAGGAGGCTGTGTCGTATTTGCGTATGGCGGCCATGTTCACCTGCGGAAGCCACTGCACATGTAGACGCCGATGTCGAGGTTGACGCGGTCGCCTCACAGGCCATTGCACGAAGCACACAGGGAGCAGATATGAAGTCCGAAGTGCATCTTTTGCACACGGCGCTCCGGTGGTGACATCACGCTGATGACGTATGATGACGCTTTACGACATCGTGCTGATGACACTTGGTGACATATTTTTATGGCCATCACAATGCCGACGTTCGTTTTTCACATACTGTGACAAGTGAGGTCATCCTAGAGGTCTAGGACAACCGCAAGGACGATGCCAAGGACAGCATCGTCCTTGAGCATTCAATTGAGCAGCGCGTGTTGTGCAATTGCGTTTTTATGGCCATTTACTCCAGTTTCTTGCTCAATGAGACAAGTAAGGCTTTCGCCTTCATAAACTTTTATAAACCCCAAATTTTTAGCGTAAAATAAACTCCGAAAAACACCCTCTTAATTTCACGAGAAATAAACTCCGAAAACACGAAACCCTAGCTCAGGGTGTCTAGCGACCGTTAATTGTCAGGGAAATTTTAATTACTGGGAAAAATCGGGAAATTGTCAGGGATATCGTCAAAAAGTGAGCCCAGTCAGGAAAAATGAGCCGGAAATGCCATCGAGTGCCCTCAGCTTTGACGAGGACTTAAGGGCAGAAAAATAGGCAATAAATTATGCTTAGAGCGGAGCGTGGGTCCTGCTCACCCAGTGTAGTGTGTGCTACCCGATGCAAAGGGAACAGCCAACAAATCCAGTTCAGGCCTTGGATTGGATTGGATTGGATTGAGGGCACAACACTAGGCTAGATCTAGTTAGAGCTACTAGATTTAGGAACAAATGGAAAAGCCGCAGACCCCAATCTAATCCAAGCCTTAAGCCGAAAGTATCCGAAGGTGTGCATCTGGTGGCCATGCTGCCATTTGGTTATTGATGTGTGTGGTTGAGCGTCGTGTTTTCATTGTGTTTTCGGAAGTGACACCTTCACTGACGATGTCGGTGGCAAGAAAGTGCTCGTTTAATCCGGACTGGACGAACCCAAACATTTTGGAATATGCAAGTTGGATTAAGCCCATGCAAAATTATCCTCACAGTGCTCAATGCCTTGTGTTGTAATGGTCTTGTATATTTAACCGCCTCTACAGTGGTCAGGGAAAACCTGGAAAGTCGGGGAATTTCAAAATTATAATTTGCTAGACACCCTGCCCTAGCTACAAGTTCTAGTCGCGAGAAATAAACTCCGAAAACACGGAACCGTAGCTATAAGTTTTAGTACTGAACATGCACCATGTTGACTCATAAATGTTTGCTTCCTATAATTTCCCCACTACCATCTTTATTTCGCTTTTGTTGCAAGTGCTTCAATTGCTTTCTCTGTTTCTGCCTCTCAATTTGTCTTTTCAGCCAGAGTACAAGATTGCTGATCCAATATGCACCTTTGTGTTCTCTGCACTGGTTCTGTTTACAACAGTTTCCATCTTGAGGGATGCTGTAGTCATCCTTATGGAAGGTATGAGCTTTGCCTCCAGTTGCCTTTTGTTCCTGTTTATTATGGCGAGAAAGTAATGACGCAATTTTATGGCCAATGCCCACTTTTCATTAAAGCTAGTGCAAGGAACATACTATTGTGCTGCATTTGACTTCAGCACTGCACTTGCTCAATAATACAATAGTTCCATTTTTATTCTCGATGTTTGAGTGCAGTGCAGATTTAACACACTCGCATATACAATGCGTTCTTGCTTTAATATGTCTAGAATTAAAAAAAAAAAAAAGGAAACTTGTGTTTATTTTTTTTAGTCCTATAGCCAAGCTGGTGACCATAGCAGCCACTAGTAAAGAGGTGAAATGAATTGATTAGTTAGCTAACTAGCTAACAAGGTTTCAAACAACTTCTAAAATTTTTGCTTTTGACGGCGTAATATATTTTGAAAAGGGATGCCCGACCTTGTTACAGTCTAGCCACGCTGCAAAGTTCGGATTGAAAACTTCGTAGTGGGCACTACGGGGCAAGCATTGTCCCCCTTGTTCAGTCAAGCTTGCTTATATCAAACAGCGTTCATAAAATAATTCAATATAGCAATCAATACACAAAATGAAGCAAAAAGACCTTTGAGCCTTTCTACTCTGGTGAAGATGGAAGACCAGCGAAGCTGTACTATGGTGGAATTCAAGTATTAATGCGAAAGCATTAAGTGTCCCATTGAGCGAGCCGACGTTATCAGTTTGAAGCGTGAATACGGCACCTAGTTTCCCTGATCCCAAAGGTCCGATTGGCTGGCGCGCGGCAACGAGGCTCTCATTGGCCGCTGCACGCGTCAGTTTCAATGACCGCCGCCAGATGGGGCTGCGTGTCCGCGCCACCAGCGCGCCGATAAAATTAACCGCCGCAACCCCATGCCACTACGAGCCCCGCGCCAATTAAAATGGACACGGCGCACGCTTGGAGGCTTCTGCTCGTCTTGTCACCGACGAACATGGCGCCGCCTCTAGCATCCACATCGTCGCCGGTGCTTCTGCCACAACTCGAAAACATTACTCGTGCCACAAAACTCCGCGGATCACTCCGCGGTGTTTCATTGGACATACATGCTTTCGCATTCGCGACTCATAAGAAGGGCTTAGGTGTCTTCCAACTTTTTTTTATAAAAACTGTTTAGCCAGCGTGGCGTCCTGTCGTTGCTGGGCCTTGCACTTGTGCTTGGCTTCCATGGCACGATCAGTGTCCGTGGCATTGGCCCGCTTGCGCCGGTCACGTAGCCGCTTCTGTTCTTGGCAGCGTTTTAAACGAGTGATCTGCTCTTGTTTCGCAAGGAATACGGAACCACTCGACGCGGTAGAACTCAAGGCGATAGCGGCTCCGCAGCATTTGCGTGGCCATTCGCGCTGCCGCACATATCGCCGCTTCTTGTGCTCCCGCTCTTCTTCCTTCGAACGAGCGGCGCGCGGCCAACCCATCGTGAGTCCAAAGGGCGACTGATAAGAGCGCTAGCGCAATCTCGACATCACGGGACACAGGACACTCACGACTGGTAGGTGAGACGATGACGTAGGGTGATGTTGAACTAGCTCAAGTTTTTTGTCGACACACTGCTTGTCTACGGACACGATATTAGGGGTATACAGTGTAGACCGCATATAACGTATGTCGCGGGAGTCGCGAAAATCCGTACTATAAGCGGTACCGCGTTATAACCAAAACATCAATTTTTCAGGCCAAAATACATGCCATGAGACAGGGAGGCACTCACTTGATCGAATGACGTTTTAGCGAACGCCCACGTTTCATCGAACGACACTTTAGCGAATAGTCGGACGCCGCGAAGCGGCGTTTTCGGGTGGGCCAAGTGAGTTCATATTTTTGTAATGAGTTGCCGCAGGCTGTCGCCGCGAAGCGGCGTAAAGCGCAGCGCGACGGATGGGTTAACGCGCGCCCCCGTTATTCGCTAAAACGACCATTCGCTCAAATGTCGCCGTTCGCTAAAATGTCATTCGCTCTTGTGATATGGACCCATTTCACCAGACTAGTACACTTCTCTCTCAAGTGTGTCACACATTTTGAAAGAAATGAGCGGCTTTCGCCTGGCGCAGCCTTTTAGCGGCGTCGCGGGTTGCGGACGGACGTTGCGAGCGTTCAGGATTGCTAACCCTAATCACTTTTCTCCGGAGATGAAAACGCGTGAAAATTCGCATCCTTCATACGGTACGCGCCAGTAATACCTTGAACTTGAGGACACGCATGAAATGCGCCAAATAAGAAATCCGGGCGATGTTCGAGCACACAAATGCTTAGAAATCACCACTGTAGTCGAAGTAAACAAACACGACGACACGGGCGTTTCTGCCGTCTTGAGAGCGCCGCCACGACATCGCCGCTCGGGTAGGTGGATCTTCCCTTCTAGTACGTGCTGGGTTATCATAGCGACACACAGCGAAAATTCACAGTGAAGGATAGCGCTTTTACGCGGAACGATGAGATGAACGCCGTCTAAGACGACGATCACAACGTTGATCACAACCGATGCCATGTTTGCGGAGAAGCAGCCGGCCCGCGACCGGCATGCGACGCGCGCGAACACTTCTCGACCTGCGATTGGTCTGTCGTTGCGGTTGCTTCGGATGTTTTCAAGGAAGCGGAGGGACGCACGCACAGCACGCACGTGAACGACACGTGCGTGCGTCCCTCCGTCGCTAGGGCAACTGAAGCCTCTCTCTTCGCTTCTCCCGCTTCTTCGAGCAACCTCCTTGCCCCGCGAGTGCCGCTTGCGCAACGCTTGCGGCTCGCGCCGTCAGCGCCGTTATCTAGTGTCGCACAGGGAAGCGTGCTCGCTGCTCCGGTCGTCGGCGCGGTCGGCGGGCTGTGCCAGAAACCGCACTATAACCGGTATTTCCCTTCGCGCGCCTGCGTTTTAAGCGGTATGTAATTACGTGGAGTTCTATGGGAGGCGAACCGGTGGTTTAAAAAAACCGCGTTATACCCGGTCCTGCACTATAAGCGGTTACGTTGTAAGTGGTCTATACTGTAGTAAGTTACAGGTCAAGAAGTAGCGGCAAATGCTCCTCAAAAGGAATCGTATATCTTTCCGCCACCTCCGCATCCAATAGCGTCCCATCGTTTCAATGACGTCGCGGTAACGCGCGAGGAGGGTCTTGCCTTTCTGTACATAATTGCCTTATCTTTCGACTTTGACTTATCATTGTGGAAGCCACGAAAGGGAGGTTAGAGTTTTCTCCCTCCAATGGAAACAAATACGACTTTCGGGGATTAGGTTCCCCCTACGATGGATACAAAGGCTGCTTTCAGGGGCTCGGTTCCCCCTCTGATAAATGCAAAGGTCGCTTTCTTAGAAAGTGGGGTCAAAGACAAGTTGGCATCACTCTGTAGCCAATATCTATCCACTGAAGCGGAACAAGGTGCATTTCCAGTGAACTCTTCTTTCAACTGCGGAGGGATTTGAAACAGGTGCACCACGCTTGTGGGAGGCGCTTCTTCTACCTTCTTGACTTGTAACCGACTATTACCGTCGAGATGTTTCGGTGGCGCCCTCGTTCGGTTACCTTTCGTGACGTCGTTATCTTGTGAACAACAAGTTCGATGGTGTTTCTAATGGGCATGGTAGAAGCTTGAAATCGTAGCGCTCTTAAAGCAACACTGCCAACACCGCCTAAATTGAAGTTCTTGCATTCCTCTTATTTCCGTCGATGAGACATCCTTTGCTGACGTCATAGTCAGTATTTGGCCAACTGTGGTGGGCCGACCACAGCGACGCTTTCGATCGCGCACGTCGCCAATAGCCCTTAAAGGGAAGATGGGGCAGTTCTACATTTGAGAAAAAACGCTCGAATTGCGTTCATTTGGCCTTTAGAATAACACATATCAAAATTATATTTCAATGCGACGCGCCGGACAGCCGTACGAGCAATTTCAAAATAGGACTGAAGCCCCGCCTCCCTAGCCTTGGGCAGCCAAAAGATCCGTCGATGACGTCACGTACAGCGACTGTCTTTTGCGTTTTTCTCGCGTTTAACAATACTTGCGCAGCAAATGGTTTGGGTATTCTGGTTCATGGGGTAAAAATACACTAGAATTCACTTCTAACTCATTTTTTCCAAGAAGCTCCGTAGCTTCCCTTTAACAGCTTCACTGTGAAACACGCATGTAAGTGCAACGAGGCCAACATAGTCACAAGCTAACTCGTAGCTATTACCAGCCTGCACTTCGCCTTTGATCAGAACACTTCCTTGAAAGGATATCAATAATTTATATCTGTGAAAAGAACTGCATAAGTGTAGCCTGTATTTTCAAACTCGTCACATACCTGTTAACGGCCCGCTCCACGGTATCCAAACAGTTGACAAGAGAGCGAGTCCGCTTCCCTCAACGGCGCCACAGTGGCGGCTCAGCAGGGCCACAGCAGCAATGGCTTCGCTTGAGCTCGGAAACGGTATAGAGTCTTCGGCGTCTGCAGGACTCGGCTTGCAACGGGCCGCTCCTAAACAACCTCAGTGGCGATCTCAGTGTCGGTTAAGGCTCTGTTATACTCCGACGTAACGCGTGCCCAAGCAAACGCTGGCCGAAGTCGGCTACGTCACGTCAGTCACACTGCGCGCGTCAAAAATTCGGCCTCTTTATACTCCGGCGGCTCTAGCGGCTCCCGCGGCGGGTGTCGGTGGGCTGCCGGCGCGGCGCATGCGCAAAATCTTGACTACGAGGGCACGTTTCTTGCGAGAGTGCGCCACTTCCGGTTCCTTTTCGTTTTGAAGAGCAGACGAAAATCCTTGCGCTTCTTGAGCGCCAAGTTCGAGCGATGGCGTGGACGTACCTTGCACGACGAAAACTCGCGCTTGCACTGTTGGTGCACCGCCTGTGTCGCAAGCGTAGGCGGTCAATGTACATAAGGTACATCTTTGACAAGCGCACGGTCTACGGTACTCAAGCTTCCTCGTGTCGTTGACACACGGGTCAGGACGAATTCCCTCGATGAGCTTCTCGACGACCGAGTCCGATTCTTCAAACATGACGGCACACAGAGTGGTGCTCCTGTCGTCTGCTATTGCTCGTATTCAGTGCGCTTCCCGCGCGAGGGCTGCCAGTGCGTGATGCATCTTGGTCCGGCATCGCTGGCGCGGCCGGCGCGGTATACGGCATGCTCCATTTTGGCGTCGAGGCGGTCAGGCTACGTCGAACGCCGCCGGTCGCGTCGGTTACGCCACGACGCCGGAGTATAGATCGTCGTGTTTTCGCCGATGTGACATCGCTGTGACGCGCTCGCACGCGTGCACGCGTTACATCGGAGTATAACAGAGCCTTTAGTTCTGCTGCGGTTCCCACGACGTCGTCCTCGCCGATGTCCGTTTCTTCACGCTGGTGTCCATCACTATTGGGAGGAGACGAGTGAAACGACAGGAATGCAACGAAGCGACGTAGCCAACCGAGTGCAGGCGGCGGGGGGCACGTACGTGGGGATCGGCAACGCCACGTTGCCCTACATGGTCCGGCGCAGGAGAGTTTGATGTGTCCGTTACAAGCCCAGTCATGTTCGACATAAGTGGTTTAAAGTGCGCGGAATTTTTATCGCAATTCTACAAGGGTTCAATATAGGCAATAATTCTATATGCCTGTGTTCGATATAATTGGGTTCGACTGTATGAGTCTTCAAATTGAGACTAAACAAGTAAGTAGCGGCATCTAATTCTTTTAAGTAGATTAGCTAACTACTTACCGATTTTGCCTCTTTTTTTAGTGGCCCCCACGACCTCCAACTTAGCCCCAGGGCCATAATAATGCTAATGCAAGTTGCCTCTTTAAAACTAATCGACTTAGGTACGAAAAAAAAACTCCTTTGTATACTGTCCTAAAAAACATACACTAGAAAATGCATGCACACAGAAGTGTTGTGGGCAACAAAGCTTTTGAATGGCTGCTTCTAAACACAATACATTATTACCTATTATATGGGCCCCAAAATATTTGTTTTCAGTAGACTGGCTTAGTCACCGCAGTACCCTTCTTAACGATCATTGATCAATTAACGGCCCTTTCGAAATAAACTTTGTTCATTGTTAAGCTTATGATTGACAACCAGGTGCATCTGTGGCACCGTTGAATTCAAACTGAATGAAGCTCCAGATGTAATTGAAGACACAGGCATAGCAGGCCAGAAACCAGGCACAGTCTGTAAAAATGCAGTCATGAGACAGTACTCTAACAATTCTGTATTTCTCTTGGCTAAATTGTAGCATGTGACTGGGTGAAGCTGATTACACATATTCATGCAATGGGTAAATGGGGGTTGAATCTGTGCTCTTTCCGCTAATGTTAAAAAGGTTGCCGGCTTTTCCTGGGAGCAGCATATGGAGAGCCAATCACTGCCATTTACAGGGATAGCCCAGCGAATAATTGTGCGTAGACAACATGTGGACCTTAAAAAGTGGCACGCACCACGACTCTAAGCACTAAGTGTACGCAATTCCAGGCCTGGTCATATTTTCGACTCAATTTTATTTTACTTAGTTGCTTGCCACATACTTTGTGGGAAAAATAGATGGGTAGACTTTGGCTCTGAAAAAGTCAACCTAGATTCAGGTATGTTTGGCATGTTTGGAAATAAGACAAATGAAGAAGAGGTGCAACATTACATTGCATTCATCATTTGAGTGAACCCCAATAGCAGTTGTAGAAATCTCTCGGCGTTGATCGCTGAAAATTTAAATGCACGAAATCGAGGTTCTTTCTATTGTGAGCAGAAAATGGCTTTACTGCCCACTCATCCAACTGACTGGCAATCCCTGCAAAGTCCCATCCACCTTCATAATGTTTCAAGGCCGAACCATAGGCGATGTTGATTTTGCAAACGCACAATGCGCAAGATTGTTGCGGGTTTCGCAAATCCGCAAGGTCACTGCGCTCGGCAAACTCATGCAGCGCCGAGCATCGGTATAAATCTCCGCGATCGATGTCACTGCAGTCGACTAACTCCTCCCGGATAACAAAGCCAGAGTGCAAATTTTTTTACATGACCCAGAAAAGTCCAACATGGGGCACAGTTTGGACACGAGCGCTGCATCAGCGTGAGACCCAAAATGTTTCTCCGACCAGCGCGTTCGATTCATTGTCAAAAGCGGTCCCTCGACTTCTGCCCGACGGATGCGGATGGGACGCTACATGTGCCATTCGAAGACGCGTTGCGGGCACTATGGGGCGTCAGTGTCTGGCTGGGACTCTTGTTCTCACCGACTGGGCACGAATCTCGGTCGGACGACGAAGCAGCACTCGTGGCCAATTTGTGCCCTGCGTCGAGTGACGCCGAAAGTTCGGCACTATGGCTTCGTTATCTGGGAAGTGTCAAGCTAACCCGCCTCAACGTTCCCCTCTTCTCATTCGGTGGTCGTCCGATGTCCACCTTCGATTAATTTCTGGTGGAACTGTACTTGAAGTGAGGTCGAATTTCCCTTCCTTTTTACGGAAGAAAACGTAAAAGCTAAAACTTCTTCAATTTCACAAAAATCTGAAACCCAACGAACATCATTCCACACAGATACATCATTATTGGGTGAACTTCAGTTTAAGTCACGTAGAAAACATCAAATGTGTTGTGGTATATATTTGTTACAAATGGTATATAGAAATTGGCTTGAGAATGGCATTTCCTGATGAAGTCGCAAAAAGTTGAGTTTGGGCTAAAGATTGGTCTTGGCTAAAGATTGGACCTTGCCCCTCTGAACCGTAGCAGACTGAGCGGAGTGGCAGAAATTGCTGGCCATTCTCAGCGTGGTGGGCAATCCTCAGATGGGAGGAGATACACTGGGAAAGCTTGCACATAGGACAATGTTTTTGCCTCTCGAGCGGACATTGTGCGGAGAAAATACGCAGTCGATCTGGTTTCCCGTGTTGGGTCCTATTTCAGTGGTGTGTTCAACCTTAGAGGGGTTTAGCCTGTGTCTGGGCTGTCTTTGTAACGTTGAGTCCCTCTTTCACCTTTCCTTTTGTGTCTAGGTGTGTCTATTCACACTGCCCGGTGAATAACTGAAACACATTTAAGACAACAAAAACAAAAGTGCTGTGGAAATGAAAATCAAAACATGCAAAGCAGGTGCAAACCAAGATTGTCTCTAGGTGTTTAATAGGCCCATTCTATTTTCATAAAAGAAAATAAAACAACAAATATGGCATTGAGGTGGTTTTGGAAGCCACTGGAACTCGTGTGCATCCGCTCGCTGCAGGCAACGTTTGGGCATCGCATCGGCAGCCAATGCTCCTGGTCGACACTTATGACAAGAGACCTTGCAAATGTGCTGCAGTGATTTTGGCCGCAGAATCGCAGCATGGGAAACACCCTTCACATGGACACGCCGTCACAATGTTGGCACAGAAAGCGGTCCCACGGTAAAGCACAGGCTGCCCGCACATCCGACCCTCTCACTGCGGCAGCAGGGCTCGAATGAGTGCAGAGGGAATGGTTTTGTGTGCCTTGAGCAAATGGCATTACTAAAATTAAGAATAGTAAAATTTTGTCAAGGGTATAAAAATATATAAATAAGAATACTGGTATATTCTTATATATAAGAACACTATATGTTGAAACGTCAATATTTACAAAACATAGTCTTAGGTTCAACAGATAATGGCACATCTTGCCAAGTTATTATGAGATGCTCGTGTTGACGTTGGGCCGTAACTCCCATGGCCACCACTCGCAGCTGCAAATCGCGACACATTCTTGATTTTTGCTTTGCTTCGGCGTGGCGAAATCATAACATTTCGAAAGAAGAAGACGTGTTTCCTATCCCCTTTCTCAAAATAGACAAATGTAAAGAAAAAAAAATGATTGTCTTGATTTTACAGATAAAGTGTGTATATGCAGAATGTATTTCCACAGCAAACTTTTGGGGCTTGTGGCAGACTTCGCTGTTATTTTTTTCTATTTTTTGGTTACACGAATATAAACCAATTGGAGGAGGACGAGATAAGAGAGGTCAGGGCACCAAACTCTGGTTGGAATGATTAGTGGGCGGACACATTGCAAGCCGCCTTTGTCTCTTCGCACTGTTCAAACGCGTTCCAACGCCCAACACCGGCATGCGGTGTCCGCATTTGCCACTGCCCCTTTGGTGCCAACACTTTACCAATGCGCCTTTAGGGGAAGTGGTAGAGTGTCAGGCTCGTGCTAATGAGGCCGTGGGCTCGATTTCTTTCAGGTTGTGTTCACACTTTTGTTCTTCTCAGTTAATTACTGTTTCTTATCAGTTATGTGTTTTTTTGTCCTCTGAAGTAAGTGTTATATATTTCGTAACATGTTTCCGTGGCGTTTCGTCGCACTTTCCTTGGGGACCTCGGCCCTTAAAATTGTACAAGCCTGCAAATTTGTTTGTAACATTAAAATTGTTGCATCGCTTCTTTCAGGTTTTCCGAGAGACCTGGCTTACTCTACAGTAAAAACAGCGCTTCAAAGCCTCAAAGGAGTTCGTATGGCACACAGCCTTCATGTTTGGTCACTCACGCTGGATAGGAACGCACTGGCTGTGCACTTGGCAGTTGGTAAGTGTCTTTTTTTTTAGCATGAGCTTGTCATTGCATATTCTCTGTGTACTGTAAACTGTAAACTATTTCTTCCCGAGATGTTCACCTCAAACCAACTAGCCCAACACATCATATTGTTGTAAACTGTAAACTTTGAACTGTAAATTTTCCTTGACTGCACTGGTGCCACGCCACGGCAGCTAGCTCAAAAGGGCAGTGTAAATGAATATAGAAGCAGATAGGTGCTAGTATTGCCAGATGATCCCAACATTATTGATGACCTCAGCATAGTCCAAAAACCCTCCTGTATTTTGCATTGTGTGCTTATGCTATGTGCCTGTGTTGCAAGTCCTGACATTATCATTGCCTAGCTGCCAATGCTTGACTGTATTCAAGTTAATTTTTTTCTCCTTTTGTTGAGCACTAAAGATGATTCTCATAGTTTTCCACACTTCAGGGCGAATCCTTTAAAGCTGCTGTCAATTTATTGAATTTTATAACTCCTTTTTTTTTTTACCCCTTCACTCCGTAATTTTTAAGCAAAGATATAATTTGTGGTAGACAGACATCTGTTGTGCAGATTTGAATGAAAAATCGGACTCGCACAAAAATGTACAGGCGAGCTGGTGTACTTTAATTATGATGGTAAAACCTGAAACTGATGTGGATAAAAAAAAAGAATTATACACTGGAAGAGACCCTTGTTTTCTGTCTCTCTCATTGTGTGCTTTTCTGTCCTTTATGATTAACAGATTTCAGGATATGTGTTGCTCTCTGAGCCAAAAGTCAAATATGAAGATATGTTTCTATTGATTGAGCATATTGCTAGCCCAGTTGCTTGTGAAGCTAAAGAAATAGCATTGCAGACTGCTGAGGCATTTACTGTGACGGCTATGAGACAGTACACAAACCAGTTTGACTGACTTTTCCTCACTATTGTTGTTTTGTTGATATGAGCTCCATAGCAGTGTGACACATTGTGCTCCTAGAAGGTATTGATAGCTCCCATAAATATTTAATAATTGACCTAGGGTCATTGCAGGCTCACTATTCAAAACTTTTATCAAGCCAGCCAACATACCTAACTAAGTATTGGGATTCCATTAATGATATAGTTCCAAGGAAGTTGTAACCAGCAAGCTACCCTACTGTTTACCCTAATCTACAATGATGTTTTTGCAAACGAAGTCAGCTGGTCTACTCTCCTGAACATTGTACCTAGAGCAAACTGTTCAGATAACATTTGTACACAAGAATGCAATTTGTGCTGGGATTTTGAGTGAGTCATCACAATGTCTAAAATCCCACAGCGGATTGCTGTTTTGGGTCCAAATGTCACCTATGCCTCCTGATTCACCGGCATAGACATTCTTCCTTGAATCGAAACGATTGGCTCTCTTTCCATTGTGCACAAAAGTAGATGCCAAAGCTTTGTTCACAAAGCAAGTTCCATTTGATTTGGCCAAATACGGTGGTTTGATCTGAGATCTAAGCAAAAGTGATAGAAGCCTATGCTCTAGTAACACACTAGTACCACTTTGCCATACTGGGCAGTGCTCTGCTGTGTCAAAGAAAGCATCCACAGAACAGCTGCAAAGAACTAAACAAGCTCTAGTGTATGAAACCCTGATGCAAACTCTACTGGAACAATTTTTTAGTTGAGTAATAGTGGAAGGGGGAATGAGGAGGCACCAGTACTATATCAATCAAGCTGAGTAGAAACATCCAACTAGGTGTGGTAACAGCAGGCACCAAACCTAATAGGGAGTTTTAGAATAACGTACGCAATTTTAGCGCTCTCGAGCGTTAAATTTAGTGCCTTCATTAGCGCACGCTACGCAGGAGTGTTTTAGAATAGCGTTTCTCCGCCGCGACGAAAAAGCCCAAGCACCTCCTGCTCGCAATGTCACAAACATACAGTCACACTTTTTATTTCACATGCGAAATGCAGTAACTTGAGAAGAAAAACAAGTTTTTTTGCTTCACTGCAAGATTTTAGATTCATTTAATTATAACAATGCGACCGGAGCGGTCGACCGGTCGTGTCCGCTTGCGCCGCATCGGCAAGAAAGGTTTTGTGCACTGACCTTCGCACACCACACTACCTTCGCCGAGAAATGTTTGCATGTCGCAGGCAGCAAGTGGGCGGCGAGCGTTGGCCTCCTTGCTGGTTCTTCCAAAACGCTTCTGACATGCATTCCTGTAGAAGTGCAATGTCATCCTGCGTTGAAGATCGCAGTCGAGAGGATGCCGCCGACGTCTCGCTCACGACTCCAGCCGCAGCCACTATTTTTGAACTGTGCTTGTCTTCGCTTTAGCCAAATTCCCACGTACACTACAATTGCGCACGCAAAGCGCAAAATATGGCTTGCTTTCGGCACATGAGCAGTGGCAACGACGCTATTCTTTGCGTAGGCAAAGGTTTAGCGTGTGCTATTCTAAAACTTACAAATGTTAGACTTTTCTTTTCTTCTGAATTTGGCATACTTTTTTTTTTTATTTAGGAAATAATTTTTTTGACCAAGACCATGTGAGGTCTTCCTTTCGCTTGTTTTCTTTATTTTTTTTTTTTGTGGGCTGTAAGCAAATATTAACAAAGGGTGCCATCATAGGATGTTTCCATTTCCCGTACTAAATGGTGACAACCCAGAAACTATATGATTAGGTAGTCCTCGAATCTATCGAGATAGATTCTTAGAATAACTTTCATTTGTCACACTAGCATGTATAGTCTAGATTGCAATTAATTTCTACAACTGTAATAAAAGACATGTACTAGTTTCCCAGGTTTTCTATATTAAAGCATGCCCATTCTTTTCTGTTTATTACTGTCGCTTTCGGAATGCCTTCACACCATTTATTATGGCTGCTTTCTGCACCTTTTCCAAACCAGTGCACTCGAAACTGGCAAGCTGTCGAGGTGAAGTGACCAATCAGTCAATAATGATTGTAAAATGATGACCACCACCAGATTTCAAAGCACCACATTCTTCATGTACTTGCAAAACTTTGGTTGCGGTGCTTGAACCTTGTCATTGGCCCTGATACACTTTGAAAATGCCCTTCTATTGATGAGAAGTTGTGGAACGCTTGGAACAATGAAAATAATCCAAACTTCATCTCCAAAGGACAGCAAACTTGGCACACAAAACCCAGTCACGAAGGAGAACAAGAATTTAACTTCCAAAAGACAGTTTATTGTTGAACCCAGCCCCTTACTGTGCAGGTCGATCCCGAAGATAGTTGAGAGCTGGATAACAAAGTACATCACAAGGTCACACAATAATGACGAGACCCCTCATCCTCCTCCTCCTCCCCCCCCCCCCCAGTGCGCCCTTCAGCTGTGCCATAGTGGCATAAAATAGGGACCTTTTTCGGTTATAACTGACTTCTGAAATAAAATAATTTGGTATATGTTGATTGGTTTTTGTTTCAACTGAAAACACAGAACCCTATTCATACACAATTTCTTTACTCATTCTCTTATGGTGTTTAACATTGAGTTGGGTTTCAAATGATTGTGAGGTTGTCGGTGAGAGGTGCAGCGAATATTTCTAGTGTTTTAACTGTCTCTAATTTAGAATAAGCTGGCATCACAGCGTGCGGTCAGATGGCAGTAATGATGGCACTTAGAGCAGCCTTTTGCATCCAGAAAACTGGTTTTGAAATAAGACAGGTAGAGTCACTGGTAGAATGAGGATGACAAGAAGGAGTTGCAGTTGTCCTGCTTTCAGCGCAAGCTTCCAACCTTTGATAATGCTTCGACGCCTCGTGAACATCGAGCGTATGTGGTATACTATATACTATACTATAAATATACTATAAAGGTCAGGCATTCAAATGAGACCAGGCTGGGCGTTCGAAAGAGATTCCCCGCCGTTCTCATCTTGTGAGTGACTAGCATGTGGTATACTATATACTACATGCTAGACTACCATACTAGGGTACCATATAAGTAGGTTTTTCTTATTACTATTTATAGAATTAAGTGCAGAAATCAACCAAGAATGTGCCTTCATGTTGCAGATGAGGATGCTGATCCAACTGCTGTACTGCAAGCTGCACAACAAATGGTCCGAAAAAAGTTCAAAATATTCAGCTCTACTATACAAGTGGAAGTCTACGCTCCCTCGGAAATGCTTTCCTGTGAGACGTGCAAGGGGCCTTGACCTTGAATGCTTGAAGAGCGTGGACCAAAGACGTTTAGTGACGAGTTAAGTGTCCAGTAGCTAGCGGATTACGAGATCCTGGCTGTGCAGCTTATGCCGGCTTTGTGGTTAAGCCACGTGACATACCATTCACTTTGTCCACTCAGAATTGCTGGTGCGTATTTTGGTTTAGCAAGGTGCGCTATTGGAACTGACGTTTCCATTGAGTGTATGGAGTAAATGGCTGTGGTGCCAGACTAGCTTCAGTCTTTGAATTAGACAAAGAATAGGTTCCAATTCACATGACTTGGGCTAGCTCTCAAGCCCTGTTGTGCCGTGTAGGGGTATGTCTTGAGGTGCCAGAATTCTCAGGGCAAACATTGTGGCATGCTTTGTACTGCACTGTAGTGCATTCTGACAGGGTTCTGTCAAGAAAATGTTTGCTTCACCTTTAATTTCACCTGTTCTGGAGAGTTGCCATCAAGAATAGGAGATAATCTCACTCTCTGCCCTTGACAGAGGTGTGTTTGTGCTTCACATTTCTGCAGGCTACATGACATAAACTCTTCACAGTTCACACATAGTGCAATGAAGGCAATAAATAACAATCTATCAGTATGCAATATGTTGTAGAGAACTGTAATTTGCAGTTCTCATTTCAGCTGCTAAGCATGAAAGGGCCAATGCAAATCAAAGGTGCAGCAAATTTGCTAATCTTTTTGTAAGTGTCGGAGGAGTGGATGTTACTATGCTCCTTGAGTGAGACCTGAAGGAAGTGTAGCATAGCAATGCTGGTAGGCCTGATAGCAAGCCTTTGCCTTTACGCTAGTGATGGGCCGAATCAATCGAAGATTTTATTTGGCATTTGTCAAACTTTTTGAGCAAAATTTCATCAGAATGATTTAGCCACTTGGCAAATGGTTACAGTTGTGCAAATGCTACATTTGAGCATCTTGCAAGCATGACTGACGACGAAGAGTTACTGCGCTATCATTTTACCAGATAACTGAAAGTACTTTTTAGATCACAAGATATGAAGATAACACGCAGAAAATGAGAACAAAAAAGGCTCGAGGTACACCTAAGCACTTCTTATGAGTTGTGAATGCGAAAGCACATACATCATTCTTCCACTCCCTTATTTCGTCTGCAGCTTATTTGCTTCAACGACAGAATGCGCCCTCTCCTCGTCGCTCTGACGTTGGACGTTTTGTGTTAGCGGCGTGCTGACAAACACACAGTGCCATGAGGTGGTGGTCGTTGTAACTGACTCGCAGCAGGAAATGGGAGCCTCGTCGACATGCGCCAGCCAATGGAGCCTCGTCGACATGCGCCAGCCAATGGGACCGAAGCCGAAATCCATCAGCTTTACTATGCTCCTTTGGGATCGGGGAAACTAGGTGCCGTTTGGCTAGGCTTTTTGCGTGGTTTCATAGCTAGGAGCTGGCTTCACTTGGAGGAAGGATCTAAGGTGCCGTTTGGCGTGGCTTCAAAGCTGAGAATGTCAGCTCGCTCCATAAGACAGCGAATGCTTCCGCATTACAAGCTTGATCTTGCTGACAAAGATGGGTAAGCACAATATGTGCGATAGGCCTTCCAGGAAAGGAGAAGGGCGTCTCAATGGCACCACTTACCGAAGATTCGCTTTCAGTTTTTGACAGATACCGCGAGATGGCGCTACATGACTGGAGAGGCTGCGGAGCAGCCTCTCTAGTCATGCACTGTGCAAATGAGGTCACTCTTGCGTAGTCTGTACCATCGAGCCTGGATAGCTTGGTTGGCAAAAAACTTGGCTCACAATCTCGAGGCGGTAGGTTCAAATACTGCCGGGGGACTGAAGTATTTTTATATGGTTCTCTCTAGGCGTAATGCTTATCGGTGTCGGTTATTAGCTATGACCGGCCGTTACAGCCAAATATTGCAGAAGTCCATGGAAATCGACTGATAAAACACGTTCTGTGTAAATAACACATTGAGAGCCTTAGGTGTCTAGTGACTTCCATATAACTCAAGGTAGTACTTAACAATAGACCTCCCGTAAAAGTCAAGGGCTTCCTAAATGTGGGTGGGGCGCATGACGTGTACACCCGCCGGCGATATGAAGGTGAACGTTGGGCTGTCAACCGCTCTGTGCTATCAGCGCCACAACGCGGCTGCTGTGGCGACTTGCTTTCTTATTGGTGCTTTGCGGAGGTTAAGTGCCTGGATCGAGTGCTGTTCTCACCTCTGCTGCTACTCCCCACAGAAAGTGCGAGGATTCAAGAAGGCGCCTTTCGGACGCTATCGGTAGACAATGCGATATAGTAGTTTTTCGTTGTGATATGTCCTAAACTGGAAGGCTGCAGAACAAATAAAAAAGTAACTTATACTTTCCACTTCTTAAAAAGAACAATGCAACATTGTTTCATTTGTGTGATGTGTCAGCAACTGCGTCGCACTTGCAACAATGTTATATTAGCCACATTACAAAGAGGGCATGATTATTTACCTATTGTGAGATGCTTAAAGGGGCACTGACACCCCAAAGGTCGTATTTTTATTTAATGTGTAAAACAATGCAAGTTGTAGTCGTAAACACACAAAAAAAAAACAAAAAAAAAAACCCCGCATCTTGGAAAAAAAATTGTTTGCGCGAGCGTGCGCCTTTTTATTTTTGGCGTTTATATCTCCCGCCGCTCACCTCCTTGCTTCTTTTGATCGGTGACATGACAAATCGGGAAATTTAGAAGCTTTGTAGGCAACATTTCTATAACATTTAATAACGGCAATCGTAAAACATGTTTTTTAATGAATTGCAAACGCACTACGGCCCCTCTTTTTGAAATACCGAAAATCCCGAGTTCGGTGTAATGTCGCTTCCTGGATTTGTATCCTCCCTCGGAAAACTTGGCGGCGCTCGAGCAGAGGATGATCGGCGAGTCGGGGAAGAAACCGTTTTTTTCCCGTGCCGGCGCCCTTCTATCCCGCCTGCTCACCTCATCCTCGCTTTGGGTACGGTGGCAACAGCGCTTTGCTTCGTAGCGTGGAGCGGAGGTCCAAAAGAAAGTTGAGTCGCAGGAGACCGCAAAAGTTGACTCACTGCACTGGCACGGATCGCGCGGGAACTTCAGATTCCGCATTTGGAAATTGTTTTTTTAATTCACAAATACTGAATTCCCAAGTTTCGAATTTTGAGGATAATGTCCCGGCATCGTTTTCAATCGTTTCGGATAATAAAAAAAAAAAATGATTTTGATGTGTCAGTGCCCCTTTAACACTTTGCAGTGCATGCCAAGATAATTTATTAGAAATTAGGGCTCCGCTGGAACGTGCATGTAGTGGTTGCGTCACTGTTAAACCATGCCGAACAATGTCCGCTCTAGTTCACGTGCAATGTGCAGATCATTTGCCGGCAATGAAGTGGGCACGGCCCCCACAAAAAGTGATGCCGAAATCGAAACCCACTTCCACGCTTTCTGCAGGGAGTAGCAGCAGATCTGAAAACAGCGCTCGATCCAAGCACTCAATCTCGGCAAAGCGCGCGATAAGAATGCGAGCCGCTACGGCAGCCGCGTCGTGGCGCTGATAGCACGGACCGGTTCCCGGTCGGGCGTTCACCTTCATATCGCCGGCGGGTGTACCGTGGATGCACTGAACCTGTCATCCCAGTCGGAGGAGCAACCATAACTCAGAAATCTACATGGTAGAGAACTGGGGACATGCAGGAAAGTCTTGTACCAGCGTGCTGGTTCGTCTCGACTCAGTGATAACTTCGGTCATAATTAATGAAAAAATATTAGTAGCCATGTGCTTTGAGGGCATACATGGTGTGGTCTGCGTTCTGAAAGCTAGATAGTTGGTCATTTTTCTTTTTAGAAATAACGACTGGGGATGTTAGAAGGCACTGAACAGTAGGACAACTTTCTTGTGTAATGCAGGAGTGACGGTCACACCTTTTTGGTACCATTGAGCTGGTACAGCCCCATCACCAAAAGCTTGGCTCAAGCTGATCTTGAACTATACTGGACATCACCAATGTTGTGCTAGATTGTCAAGGCTAGCGTAGCTTTCATAGTGCAGCGGTCCTGCACTGCCGTGAGAGCATGTGACTTCGTCTTGTATGATGTCATTCGCATATGCTCTCACGGGAAGAAGCTTTGGCAGCATTGGAGCACTGCTAAAGCTATGCTAGCCTTAACAATTTAGCGCAAAATTGTGGATGCCGAGAATAGTATTATGAAATAGTGGCTCCAAACCTGATCCAAAAGTTGGACTTGGTTTGGACCTGCTTGAACTGTGCAGGGCTCTAATACAGGGTACATGAAAAGTGAGAATGTCCTTGTGCAAATACCTAGTGCTTGAAACAAGTTTCCTTTGTTAGTACTAATACAACACAATTACAAATGCCTCACTACCCTAAATTGGACACTCTTTGGTTTCTTTTACGTCACTATACTACAAATAATGCACCCGATGTGGACACTGAGACACTTGTCGCTCTCATAAGATTGTTGTTACATGACCTTTTCTATGCACAAGAACAGATGCACATTTTAGTACTGAATGCAAAGCATACATATATGTAGCATTATGATACCCCTTATTAAAGTCTACCATGGCTCAGATTGCTACCCTGGTAGCAGACATTGAGAGAGTGCGTGACTATTTATTGCCAAACACTTCTATGACTGAACGCTTGCAGAGTACCATCATTCTGCATAAAGTTTTAATTTGTTATGATGGTGAATTTAATTATTTTGTTCATGTCCTAAAAAGTATAAGGAATAAAAAAAAAAAATGGCTTGCCAAAAATTTGTTGAAATTCTCAAAATTTTTAGCAGAAGTCAGAGGCTCCGGAAGTCAATTCTGATCGGGGGGGCGGGGGTCAAGGCTCACATCCTTGCAGTGCAGATTCCCCCCCCCCCCCCCCCAACTTTGAAGATCGTACGCGCGGAAAAACCGAAATGGAGGAAGCGACCTTTGTTTAGCCGAAATCATCTCTGAGTAACAAAAATAGATATTCAAAATCTCTAGCATGCAAGAGCGTTTCCGTGGCCTCTCCTGTCACACCGAAACAAAAGTACGAAAATGATTGACAGATAACAGAAATGCTTTTCGCGTCTAGGCGTCGTGCAGAAACTTCAAGGGGCGCCTCCCATGCTAGGCCAGCTCTGAACCCTCTCCGGCCATTATGGGATCAGTGCGCTTAATTGGCACGGTATTTGCATGGCCGAGCTTGAAAGAGCCGATCCCAAGCGAAACTCGTCCAAGAGAGAGTGCAGTCCCTCCAAGGACATATGCTCCGGACTGCCGTTCGTTAAAGCGCTCTGCCAGAGACCAATTTCCCGCGGCAAGAGGTTTTTACGTTTGGGGAGGCTTATCCAGAGCCGGAGGGAGGCCTTCTCCCCGCCATTCTTTCTGATGACAAGGAATGGTAGAAAGGTGCCTTTCCTAAGCTGTCCCCATCCGGCTGCCAGTGATTAAGATGTGACCAATACGCGCGCCTCAAGGCTAGCTCTGAAGAAACGTTTACTCCAGCACTTAACAGGGGTATCAGCTTTACTACCAATTCTCGTCCCGACAAATCGTCGCTGTCCTTTCTTATTCCGCTTCAAGCTTAAAAGGCACGGTAGCATGTTGCTACATTAAGGGAGGGTTGTGGGTCAGCCTTCAGCGTCGGGGGGGGGGGGGGGGGCGTGACCCCTACGAAAAAAAACACGAGGGGGGCGGACGCCCCTCCAGCCCCCCCCCCCGGTTCCGGAGCCCCTGGCAGAAGTTCTGCTTTACAGAGTGCGAAGATTCGGTAGAAGTTCGGCCCATCACTGCACAACGTGCTTATCACATATAAGCATAACACGTCTTTCTGATCATTAATGTACGGTGAATTGTTTGTCAAAGTCAATCTTGCCCCATGTCTATGCGTATGCTTTTATCTCCAGCAGCTTTACAATAAAGTTTTATGCTGGAACATATCTAAGAAACAAGCATACACAAGCTTAGCATGCCTTGTTTATGCATCATATGACTCGCATTTCTTAATTGCAGGTTATGACCCGCGAGCATTTATAGTGAACATTTTGATAGCAATCCTACCATTTCAATTGTGGTTCTTGGAAAGTTCTTCCGTCCATCATAGCGTTTTGCTCTGGTTTTGCACAAAGACGGTTGTGGCAACTTGGAAATGGTTTCTGTGCTATTTTTGTTTGTTCCTCTAGATGTAATGCTAGAGATTGCTAGACGTGTGGGAATATGTGCTGGACACAAACTTTTTGTTATTTATTAAGAGGAAGTGCTGTGAAAAGTACTGGTTTCACACATTCCGAGGTGCATGTTTGCTCATAAACATGTGCCAGTTAAGGGTTGTGTTAAATTCTAATATATATGTGAGCATTTACAACAAAGCAATCATTCCATTGTTGTGTGCACCTTGTGCCTGTGGGTTTTTATATTCCATATGTTCCCATGAGGTTGGGATGCTGTCAATTGCCAAGGTCAGATGAGATCTCTATAATCGAGTGACAAATAAATATTTTAACTTTTGCAGCCGTGTGTGCTTTATGGTTGTCACAAAGACAATACAGTGTGTTTTTAGAGCGCAGCTCTTAGGGGCCCGTCTCCGGCTTGAGCGGCGTCGCCGTCGCCGTTGGCGTAACCGCGCGGTGCATTATGGGTAAATTTCCCCGCTAAATCTACCGGAAAAATTTCCCCGCTAGATTTAGCGGAAATATTTCTCCGCTAAATCTAGCGGAAAAATTTTCTCCGCTAAATCTAGCGTGAAAATTTCCCCGCTAAATCTAGCGGAAAAATTTCCCCGCTAAATCTAGCGGAAAAATTTCCCTGCTAAATCTAGCGGAAAAATTTCCCTGCTGAATCTAGCGGAAAAAATTTCCCGCTAAATCTAGCGGGAAAATTTCTCCGCTAAATCTAGCGGGAAAAATGCCCCGCTAAATCTAGCGGAAAAAATTCCCCGCTAAATCTAGCGGAAAATTTTTTCCAGGGGGTCACGTGACCCCCCCCCCCCCCGCCCCGAGAACAGGTAACCCTCAGTACCCTTCCCTCCTCCTCCTCAAGAGCTGCACTCCAATTCGGTGTTATAGGGAGTTGTAAACGGCTTTCATTTTTTTATATGCCTTCTCTTTTCTCTGTGTAACAGTGAAGCCTGGTTTAGACATTGGTGCAGTGTAATGTGCATATGTGGGGCGTCGACCCAGATAGTGGCATTTAGCGTTTGACATTAACCAGTCTGGAAAAAATTAGAAAAAAGCGCTAATGTCAGGTTTAGATTAACAGTGTCGTTTACTGTACAGGGTGCATGGAGCATCTCCCCCTTCAACTGGCACTCCGCCGTGCCAGCTCATTATGCGCCTGATATGCATCAATAGTGTGTGGAGAGAAATTTTCCGAGAAACTTGAAAGTAAACGATGGGTACCAAAAACCATATGTAAGTTATGTAGACTGGTAGAAGACAGCATACACAAGGACAGAAACAGGGTAAAGGACAGAAGAAACAGCATGTGCAGGGACATACTTGAAGGAACAAAAAGAATTGCATGATTATATCAATTTGGATTTGCCAGCTAGCTTTGATTCATCCTTCGTGATGTAGCTGAGTGTGCTCCCACATGCAAATACCTTGGGCTGCAAAAGATAGCATTGTTTAGGGTTTTCTTACCAATTAAGAACCAAGCAAAGGTATGTGCTGCTGTACTAGTATACTACTGCATAATGGGCTAATGCACCTTAAATATGAGCCCTTGACCGTCAGTAAAGCTAATGAATGAAACTTTTTTTTTTAATGAGGCTAGTTGTTTCAAGAAGCTAAATAGACCAAACCATGTGTGCAGAGTGAGTAGGGTTGATTATTTTGTTTTAGAGCTTCAAATCATTCAATACCATCCTTCCTCCCCAGTGGATAAGGTCCCCCATCATTTCTGCCAAAAAAGTAGGGGTCCACAAAACATTAGTGGTTGCCCTAGTAGAACACTTAGTTCTGTGAATGTCCTTAGGATTTTCTAACTTTGTGGGGATGTCCTATAAATGCCCACAGGACATTCTCAGAACATTGGGACATCCTAAAGATATCCTAAGGACATTCACAGAACTAAGTGTGCTACTAGGGTGAGGTCCAGTGGCATATGTAATGCCTCAAAGCAGGATCTGAGTTTTGCAGCGTGAGGAGGCACTTGGCACCTGCCCCACACTGAAGTGTTAGTGATGCAGTACACTTGCAGTCTCTCCGCTTATTTTGGAAGTGCAGTTATAATGTATAATTTGAAGGCTAAAAAGGAAAAGAAGAATTTAAGCCTGGAGATTTGGCTTCAGGATTTTTATTCAGTGGTGTTGGCCCTTTATACTAGTCAGTACTATACTCAGATCACCCCTCAGCTGACAGCTTAGTGGATGCTATGTATTCGCCGGACTAATCGACCGACTCCATTTCATCCCTTGACTGCACTTTTTTCTTCTGGGTAGGAGCGGTAAAGTGGGATCATGTGGGGAAAAATAGGCGTACGACTGGTCCAACGAGCTCGTAGCCAACGTTACTCTATCAACTCTGTTGGCAAACTCCCATGGAGAGCATGATACTTTTTCGTACCCCTCAGCCAGGCTAACGTTGTTCAAAGCACCAACCTTCTTGCTCGCTGCGGTGCGTCTTGCAACAGCAGTTCAAAACACAACCGTGGCGGCCAAGAAGGATGACGCTTCAAACAGCGTTCCCGAATCTAGGGGTTATCAGTGGAAACTGATGTGTGTCATCGCGTGTCTTAGAAGGGATCACGCTCTCCGTGGGAGTTTGCCAATCCCCACGGAGAACAACGTCGCCCGCAGTTTGCACCGCACTGTCAGCTTAGGGTTGAACCGAGTATAGCCTTGCTCGATGGAAGCCTGAAATGTACCGAGGCAACATAACTCTATGTTTACTCCAGAAGTGCATGCAAAGGGTTAAATGTGCAAACTATGAGGGGCACACCATATTGATTTACACTACTTATTTAAGCCAATTATTAATGAAAAAGAAAAGCCACCTAGTTTAGCTATGCTTTAATTATTCTTTACTAGTTTAGCAGTTGCACAGAACACTTACAAGCATAGGTGAAGTGTGTTGGAAGAGATGAAAAGAGGGTCGATTGTAAATGCTTAAGCTGCTGTTGGGGAATGACAAAGTACTACTTTCATGTTTTGACACTCTTTATGTGGCTTTGATAGGCAGTCCAATAAGGTTACAAGGTGTAAAAGTGCAGTTTCACTAGGACAAGAAATATTTCCCATTATCACAACCAGATAAGTAAGTATTTGTCCTTCCAGCACATCTTGTAGAACTATATAAATTGTAAAATTCAAGCAATACTTTGACAAATAGCAACAGGGAGTTTTCTGGGCTCCTTTCCTCTAACTGATGACCCATTGGTTCAAAGTATTAATATGTAAATATTTTACTGCAACTTACAAATATGGTTTTTCAGCCTTTTCACTTTGCAATGCCCATATAGATCTACAAGTGATCGGCACTGGCACATGAGGTGCTGGTGTGTAAGGCACATTTTGTGGATTTATTAAAGGCAAAGGAGTTTTAGGATTAAAAAAATGCCTTAGGTACACAGGCAAGCTACAAGAGTTGAGGCACAAACTTCACCTATACCCCTCCTAGCACCCAACAGCATCATTTAGGTAAATAAATACTGGAATGTATGCATGTCAATACACACAAAAAGTGGAATGAGAGCCAATAAGCCGTTCCGTGGTGTGTGCATTAGTAGTAGTCTGGCACAGGAGCACACAGTACTCGCACAAAGTCTTCGTAGCGCACTGCCCCATTCGGTGAAATATTTGCTTCTCGGAAGATTCCATCGGCTGCAAAGAGGAATGGACAGTTAAACACACATCCAAATACTTTTGCTCAAGCATAACCGCAGCCACGTCTATACTTTGCAAAATCTGAGATGTTCAAAAGAGAGCATTGGCCACACTGTAAACTAAACTTGCCTCACATTTTTATTTGAACCCATCTGCACCAGCATTTTCTACACCTGTCTTGCACACTGTTTCATGGAGTGCCTCTTGTGAGCACAGCTCATGTGTTTCAGCTACTTAGAAATGAGACATAGGGTTATGAAAAATCAATTAAAAATGTAATTCAGTAAAAAAGAGGGTGCCTAGCAAATTATTATTTTTAAATCCCCTGACAATTACAGGGGAAATTCCCTGACCACTGTGGAGGTGGTTAAATATAAAAGACCATTAAAACACAAGGCACTGAGCACTGTGAGGATCTTTTTGCACGGCTTAATCCAACTTGCATATTCTGAAATATTCGGGTATGTCTAGTCCAGAATAAACGAGCACAATCTTGCCGCCGACATCATCAGTGAAGAAGCCACTTCCGGAAGCACGATCAAAAAATGATGCTCAACCACACACGTCAATAACCAAATGGCAGCATGGCCACCAGATGCACACTTTTGGATACTTTCGGCTTAAGGCTTGGATTGGATTGGGGTCTGCAGCTTTTCTATTTCGTACTAAATGCAGTAGCTCTAACTTGATTTAGCCAAGTGTCGCGCCTTCAATCCAATCAAAGGCTTGGACTGGATTTGTCGGCTGTTCCCTTTGCGTCGGGTAGCACACTCTACATCGGGTGAGCAGAGACCGCGCTCCACTCTAAGCAGAATTTATTGCCTATTTTTCTGCCCTTAAGTCCAAGTTTTTGCTCAGGGCACTCTATGGCGCTTCCGCCTGATTTTCCCTGACTGGGCTCGGTTTTTGGCAATATCCCTGACGATTCCCTGATTTTTCCCGATAATTAAAATTTCCCTCACAATTCCCAATTTTCCCGGTTGCTAGATGCCATGAAAAAAAGACAATTTGTATGCCCACAAAACTGAATTCATTCCTCTATTAGAACATGAACATTGTCTTGTTTATAACCACAACCATACAACCTCAAACAACTGTGTATGTTTTTGATAAAAAGATATATTTAAACTAGGTGGATAAAGTCCCAAATTAAGCAGAAAACTTTTAGAGAATGAAATCTATAAATACTCAAGTACAGTAGAGTTTTTAACCATATCAGTGATGTGATTGGCCTAAGCCATTTTGGAGCACCTTTCGGAGCAGCCAAAACAGTGTTTTGGAGCAGGAAAAGTGGCTTTTGGAGCAGCCAAGACAATGTTTTGGAGCAGCAAAAGTGGATTTGGAAGCAGATATTCTTAGAAAAATAAAAATATTTGTTTTAAGTGCTGTACAAACGAAGGGCACTTCATGTTGTGTTCTGATGTGACTTGTTGCGGCAAAACTCGCTACTTGTGGTTTTATTGCTGAGACATCCCACAAGTGTACAGTACTGTAGGCATTGCCGAGCAATTCCAAAAAACAGCAAGCCACCATTTTACTGGTTCCTGACGTGCCCGATTTTCGTCAAAGAGTAAGCAGACGTAAAACATTGGATTGCAAGCGTCCCGACTGGTGCCTCTGTCGTGCAATCATGTTCGCATGCACGTGAGGACAACTTCGGTAGGCTTGCAGATGCGCGTCTTTGTCGCGCGAGCGGAGGCAATGGCTATTCGATCGAAGCCGAACCCAGGCCACTTTGCTCCGTCGCCAACCGATTCCCAAATTTGTGTGCAAAATGTAACTGTCCAGCATACGACAAAAGAAGTCGAGCGGAACGTGCTTGCAAGGCCGGCAAACAAACTACAAGCTAAACAAACAAACAAAATTGTGCGCATTGAGCCAGGACATCGCGAGCCAGGGTTAAAAAGTTCTTGGAGCGCTTTGTGCAACCACTGAACTCGAGACAAACAAGCGGGCTGTGCGGGTTCAGCGTGCAGACTTTGCCTTCTTTGCTTTAGCTCACTTGTCTTCACCAACTTTCTTTCGCAACAGAGTTTTCGCATACCGGGGCCCTCTCGAAAGAAAGCCCACCGAGAGAAACCTAGGAAATCAATACTTCGACACAACAGTCCGAGTTAAAGAGGTATTTTTTTTAGTAACGTATGATTAAAACTAGAAAAGGAATGGTGATGAACATGCGGCGGTACTCAGTTTCATTTTAGAAAGCGCCATATAGACAGCGACGTGGGGACGGCAACACCCGACGTCGCGCGACCACGGTGACTGGAAGGCAGGGACCCGATATAGTTTCCCACGGCCGTTGCTTTCAGGAGCGAGTGCTTCAGCTCACAAAGTAACTCACGCCGCGCAAAAACGTGTTTGCTTTTCGCAGCATGACGGCATGGCTAGTACCCGGCACTCTAGCGTCGGAGCGTCCGCACACACCCACCTCTATCGTTGAAAACATAAAAAAAAAAAAAAAAGACGCGAGACGAAATTTACAAGACGATGAGAGTGCAAAACGTGAAACGGCAGGAAAACCAGGCAAGACTGGATGGCGCATGCTCAATTACGGTACTCAGTTAAGTTTCGGTTTTTAAAGGCAACCGACATTGGTCCTTTGGCGCAGGCTTGGCGCAGATTACCCATATTTTGGCAAAATGTAGCAGAATGTAGCAGGGTTAGCCACTTGGCGCAGTTTGGCGCAATTGACGCAGCAATCACATCACTGCCATGTGGTCATGAAACCAGCTCGTCTGCGTACAATCACATATTCAGTGAATTGCCATAATTTATTAATCAACTGCTAAACTGAAAGATTGCAAAATGCTCTTACCTTCGCGGGGGCTAAGCTTCTCGCCCCAGTTCATGAGGATGCGACGCAACTCCCGCCCAGATATTTGCCCGGATCCGCTCTTGTCACTGGCGCGAAACGCTTTGACGATTTCCTCGGGAATGCTTTCTTTCTCACTGTGTGTGTGCATGATCTCCAGAAAATCAGCAAATGAGATTTTTCCCCCTGCGGACAAAGGAAAAGACGGATATCAGGGGCACACTACAGACATCTGTTGGGTACTTTAGATTTAGGCATGACATCAACACTTGAAAGCGATTCAATAGACCTTTTGCGAAAATCACAAAATGCCGTGTGCTCCTTGCCACCCCCCTCCCCCCCCTTCAGCATCTACCACGTGATACTAAAGAGAGTGAGAGGGTACCGGAGTTGCTTGCCTGCCTAGACCTGCTCGCCATCACCTCTGTCGTTTGCTAGACCCGGTTGTACCTAGCGTTCCTTTCGGTGCCGCAGAGGGCGCTGCACGCTTTGCAAAAAGTCTATTTGCATTATTTCTGTAGTTCAGCTTTATAAAAGGCAAGTTCACTCAAGCAAGCATGGTAATCTTTAAAAAAAAGACACTCTTCACACTGTACTTTGGTTAGACCATAAACCCACCTTTACCTACCAGAATCATCATTCGTTAATTAATAAAGGTCTCCATGAGATGACGAGGAGAAACCCTTCTTCTCGTCCGACGGCGCCCTCTGGTGTAATGATAGCTCCAAGGTAATCAATCTTTGATACCCATTTCAACAGAGAAATCGTCCACACACAAATGTAATCTTTGGTTTTCTAGGGTGCTTAAAGAGCATAGATTGAGTTATCATCATAAACAGACCATAGCAGAAAATGGTTTAGTGTGCCTTTAAAGGGACCATGAAATGATTTTAAAATCGAGTTTCATCCACCGCACGTCGTAAAAGGTGTGAAAAGAAACACAAAAACACAAAAATAGGGAGCCAAAAAAAATTATTTGCTATAGAACTTTTAAAAGAAAACTGGACTCTTTTGCGCCTTCCTTCCTTCGCCTGTTCACTACGATGCATACGCAGAATCGGTGCACGTCAGCCGAATCCACATCGCCTATTGGGTAAGAGCCTACCTCACCAGCACCGCGATCGTAAACAATAAATAGCCGGCGAATGTTTCCTAAAAGTTTTGTTAAATAATATTCAGATCCACATTTTGTAGCATAATTAGAGATGTGTGGCGAAAATTGCCAAATTTGATAATGCTGAGAGCCAAGCGCCATCTATCGTGTGGTAAACGAAGCAACTACTGCGCGTGCGCAGTAGGGCAGGGCCGCCAGTTACTTGGGTGACGGCGACCGACGAACATTTCTTTCTTTGTTTTCCTTCCTCTCAAAACTCTGACTGACTGAACGTTTATTTTTCTACGTGTTCTTCCCGCGCGTGCCGACTTCAAGCAGCAAGAAAACAGTACTTAAAACAGACCACGACGAACAAGAACGCTGGATTCACCGACTCCGACGAAGCGTATAGGCCTAGCAGGCATTCCGACTCGGCGCTGCGTTGCTTCGTCGCAAGACCGTCTGCCTACGACCGGCTGGCGTGCTAAATGGAATATGCCCGCGCGACCCTTGTGGACCCTTCCCGTATTATAGTTTGATCACTGACCTCAATTCTAGATTAAGAGGTGAGGAGGTCAATCTCTTCCCCTTGTTTTCCGAGGCAGTGTTGACGAACACTCGTCGAAAAGGGACTCTCGTCGATTCTATCTTCTTGTTTTGTGTGATATAGAGCTGAAATAAACGCCGTATGGATTGCCTCGTAACACGGTATGTACACTTTGTTATTGGTATGCCATTTTTATTCTGAGAGACTGCACGTCACTGTCGACCCCGGTCCAACCTTTCTTTGCCGAGTGTCGCGTCAGTATCGAGTTGCAATCGTAAAAGAACGGTCCCGAAGAGCTTACCAACAGCGCGAATACAAGACTTCCATCAAGCGCGCGCGTCCGCTCCGAGTGTAAGCAGGTATTTACGTGGCTCTTGCTGACACTCGTAGTTCAAACGTATCTTTTTTAACGTCGCCTCGCTCCTGCATCTCCGAGGCCGCGAAAAACGCCATCTACGTCGCTTTGCAAACGACTGACACGGGCCGGCCCTTCTGCCAACAATGACGGGGTGGTGACAAGACTCGCTGCACTTCCCAACAGGCATACCGGCGTATGGGACTAGTCCCATGCTGTCGCTGTAGCGCAACATATCTCATTGAATTTCGCTCAGCTGCGATGCGGCGATGAGAGGCGCCGATTCAGGAAATACGTCGGTGACATCAGCGCAGTAAAACCTACCGGCGCACCCCAACTCGTTGCCGCTACTGCCGAGAGAACTTCCGGTTCCGGAAACGGTCTACGTCACGGCTTCTTTTGCGGTCAGTTGGAGAGAATGAAAAAGTCGATATTTCAATAATTTTTTGTGTAAAAGTTAATAAACCGAGACGAAAACGGATGCCTGTTCGGCATTCAGTGAACATTGACGGTTTAATGTAAAAGTTATCTGGAAAAAGTAAAAAGGTCGATGTCTTGAGTCATGCTTTTAAGCGGTTATTAATAATAAGCTTTTAGCATTTTACCATGAGAGTAAAGTGCCTGAACAAGCGGGAATGTACATTTGATTTAACTAGAGGCTCGAAATACTAGCACAAAAAACGGCTTTCCAGAATACTTCTTTGCTTCATTTGAAATGTTTACTGCGCAACGAGCAAACTTTCTCCGGATGAAATGAAAAAATATCCAGCACCTTGGACACCGTTTGGACCAATGCTCGAAACATTCAGAAAGGCTGCTAGACGCTCACTTACGCTCTTTGATAAAATCCACACTTCACGTTTCTTGAAAGTACCGCCAATCACTGTTATGCGAATGTGCGAGACATGTGCCACGAGCGAGTGCTCTGCCATCATTCCCTTCCAAGGGCCACTCATTTCAGTGGTGCACCACCATTCGCCTCCAACGGCCGCATGCAAACTTTTAGATCAAAGCCAGTTGGCAAGCTTCCTAGAATGCTGGCACCTTTTCGTGGCACGTCCGCTCGGCGGCGCTTGCTACACTATTAGCCCGCCCTATGAACAGAAGCAGCGGAACCGGTGGATGCACATTACTTGTGGTGGGAAGTGATTCTGTTGTGGTTTTTAGGGTAAACATAAAGTTTGCGCAAAAAGGGCGTCGTTCGAAGATGGTTTTCTGCTGCCCATAGAGGCGATGACGCTGGTAGCGCTAGAAATGCCATCCGCCTGTGCCTGCTCACATGCAGGCAACATAGAACTGTTTTCAAACGCCGCTCCTATATGGAGCTTGTCAGCTCATAGATCTAAGAACGTTGCAGCATGCGGTACAGGCCTCGCACATTTCATGATACCTGTAAGACAAACACATCGAGGATCTTTATGCCCAATGCATCGTCCAGCCCCCTAGTGAAGATCAGTGTGTGGACTCATTGTTTTCAAGCATATGATACCGGCTTATTGGGCCATTTAGGCTTGAATTATTTTGTTTGCAGTACATTAGGGCTCCCATTGTTTCGTTTATCTCTGAAACACCCACGTGTATTGAATTTTGAGCTTGTCATTTCATGTTTAGTCCTTTTCAAGGTGATGATGTGATGTCACATAAGTCCCCTTTGTTCCGAATAAAACCTGCTATTTGCAGGCCTCTAGGGGCACACCTTTTTCAGCAAGCAGTAGCAGATGCAGTTACCTTGTAAAATTTCAATTACGGTACTACCTTTATGGCACGCAACTTCTTGGTCGGAAAGCAGGTAAACACACATACAATGCTATGCTATGGTTAACTTCCAATGCTATGGTTAACTTCCACCAGCTCGCCTGCACCCTTACAATTTTTTCACAATGCTTGTCTCGAAATATGGAGGTATCGACTCACCTTTATTCTTGTAGTACTTTTTCAACTCGGTTATGGTAGGACTCAATCCCAGAGATCGCATAATGAGGGTAAGCTCGTCCAGCGTACGAATTTGGCCTGAATGGGCGTTTAAGTAGAAGCAGTCACGAAACTCTGGGTAAAAAGAGAAAAACGAGTTGAACGAATGTGTGTACCGTGTGTACCAAAAAGCATAGCACCTCGTAGTACACCTGTCGGTGCCCGAGCAGGAGCTTTGACAGAATGACCGTTGTCGAAAATCTATGACAAAACCGTTATTCGCAAACTTTAAGAAGAGCTCACCATCAATATCCTGCTCTCTGAAGTATCGTGCCTGAAAATGCGAAAAAAACGATGTTACAATCTGCTCAGAGCTCAATCGGGTCAACCACAACTTCCGCCAAGCCTCCGTCGCTTTTCTCCGATTGAACAAAACAGTTACTATAATTGATTTTTCCAGATTGTTCATCCCGTCGGCGCGGATAACAAGTCGAACTCTCACCATAATTGGAAAATCACAATGTTTTACGCAGTATAAAGCCGGTCGTGTTGTCCGTCCACTATCAAACCAACCACGACCAACGCACTGCCCCTAGAGCGACAATACTGCGCGGAAAAATGTAGTGCAAATATTGCGTCTATTTCGTAATTTATAAATTAACTTTTATAGTTATAAATAATAAAATTTATAATTTAATGAGTTTTATATTTTAAATATTAAGTCATATATTTAACTAAATAAAAAGTAAAAAGTTTTGCGCATGCTCACGTTTAGCGGAACAGGAAAATGGCCATATTCCTACGCGATGCTGAAGTCTGCTACTGACGGCGATTTTGTTTGTGTCCGACGATTGTATCACAGCAGCGGAAATCATTTGAGGAAAGTTAGCAAACCTTTTTGTTTTTAGCGGCTTGTCGTGCTGTATATGCGAAGTTTTATTCAGTTACCTAGTTCACACGAGAAATTTTACAATGCCGAGTTTGGAGGAACTTTTACGTACTCATAGCGGTCGAGATGGGATTATTCGGACGTTAGGTTATGCGTGTCTCTTGAGCAGTGGCCTTACAAAAGGCAGTTTATCGAAAAAGTTTGGAATCTTGAGTTCAGAGTTTAGTCATTGCAGAGTGATCTCCAGGCTGTTGGACGACTGGCCGATGTTGACGTACAGTATGTCGTACGGTCTAGGGACTCAAGTAAGTTTGTAAAACTTGCTTTTGCGATTGTGCTGGTTCAAGTTTCACATGCGAAAGACGACAACGACGTAGAGGGGCGACAAAACATAACCTATTGTTTCGTCCCTGTCGTCCCTCTTTTTGTTACGTAGCACATTATTTTCGAACAGATTATTTCGCATGTTGGTTTGCATTTACAACGAAAGAAATGGCAAGAAACCAATCGAAAGCACACTCAGTTTCTAAGTCAGCGGAGGAATAACTTCCCTAACCCATGCGTGATGTAGACAAATGCTAAATAAACTTTACTTCTGTTCATGGCCACAAAAATAATTGTCAGGCAGGGGCGGAGGCAGGGGTGAGGGCGGTGATGCTTTCGTACATCGTTTGCGGAATTGTTGAGCAGAACGTGTCAGCTGTAACTCCAGCTTAAAACAGAGAGCCCGTAGACCTTAGGCCATTATGCAGAGCAAATTGAGTTGAGATGTCTCAACTGTGAGATTCATGGCAAAATAGACAGCTTCAACATAGCGCCTTGTCAGTGGATATATCTTAAGATTCACCCTGGATGGGAACTTCAGCGCAGTGCTTATAAGCAGGGCCCTATGCTACACGGCAGGACCAAGCAGGACAGGCCGTCTGCAGCGATTGGTCAGTGGCGCGGCGCTGACCAATCACTGCAAACGATGTTGTCCCGGTCCCTTGGTTCCGTTTGGTCCCGCCGTGTAGCATAGGATTTATAAAATTTAGAAGCGCTAGCAAAGACGACAAAAAAGGCAGGCAAACAGGAAAAGTGCTTACTCTCGACTGAACATTTATTTAAAAACAGCTGAGGCAAACAACCTCGATAGAAATACACTGAATCACTCAGTGGCGTCACTCATCACCACGTATTAATGAAATCAGTCTCTTTTTGATGCAGGAAAACTGACAGCTGGCTGACACAGCCTTCGGTGCCCTCTTTCTTTATAGCATGCGCTTCAAGCACTTCCCTTGCAGCTTTTTCACAGGCCCTCCCCACAATCGTGGTATTTTGAAAGTTGGGCTGGCACAGACAGTCTCTGCAATGAAGAGGCAAGTGTCCTCCTGTTGTCGAGCACAAAGACAGGTCATGCTTGCGCATCCTCTCATTTACACACTGTCCTGTATGGCCGATGTACACCCTACCGCATGTCAGCGGTATTCTGTACACCACGCCCACATTACAATCTACAAATCTTTTGGCATGATTGACGGTGCAAAAGCTCGCGTCATTCTTTTTTCCTGAATCTGTGGGCATAATTGGGCCAACTTACATGGCGCTGGAAACACCAGCGGCACATCAAATCCTTTTGCCACCTTTTTTAAGTTATGTGAAATTTTGTGCAGCTAGGGGATGACTTGAGGTCTCGTTTTTGTTTTTTATTTTATACCCTGACACTTGTCCTTGAACTTTTTCAGCAGCGTCTCGGCAACTCCAAGCAAAAGTGAAGTTGGATAACCGGTATCTCTAAGTCGATTAACCTGCAGGCTGAAGCTGTCACTCATAACATAGTAGCAAGACTTCTGAAGTGCCGCATGGAGACAAGACGAAGCAATGCCCCCTTTTTCCTAATTTAAAATGTGTCGAATTGTAGGCGAGGATTCCCTTTCTGGAGCGCGGTTGGTAACTCCAGCACACTTGGTTTCCCGTGAACTGCAGTCTCAAGTCTAGAAACTGGAGAAACTGGGCATCCGGGAGTTCCTGAGTGAACTTTAAAGTGGCCCTGCAAGGACTTTTTTAACTGGTCTTTAGTTTGCACCGAAATTGAGCGCACTGAACATAGTAACTTAATGAAACTTTTCTTTTCTCGAATTTCGCTTTATTTTAAAAGTTACATGCAAGTTAAAATTACAAAAACAAGCAAAAAATAACCTCCTTCATGACGTCCTTGGTTGCTCTAGCGGCCGTGAACTAGAGGAGGGGTAGTGAGCTCAGCGAATGCTCACGGCTGCCGCACTCCGTGTCGACGGCTTGAGAGGGCGCCACTAAAGCATGTTCTGGATAGGCTGTATGAGTCAGGCAGCCAGGGCAGCTCGCATTGCATGTGGTGCACGATTAAACACTAATTCGGCATGACACTTCATTGGCCGCAAGCTACAGCAAACACAGGGTAAAGATCAGTTCAGAACGGAAGCCACTTCACGCTGCCATACCGCCAAAGGGCCGAACCGCAAGCCAAAGCTACTCGCCGAAGGCCTTTGGAAAGCTCGGAACCATTTGGATCCTCGACTGCAGCGCCGCTGCGTACATCCGGGACCTTTCTACGCTCTCCGCTAGTCGGTGCCTGATCCCACTACGCCTTTCTAGTATGCGCCGCCTTTTCCGCCGCTTGGTGGTGGGTATGTCGACAGGTCATTTCTTGTTTCCATACTTTATAAACTGCATTTGTTTCTTTTCTGATATAAAACACTGAACAAAAACAACTTTTATAAAGAACTGAAACCACTGAAGCTAATAACCGCCACTTCTATTTTGTATTTCGACTAAAAAGAAGCTTTTAGCGGCTCTTACCAGTAGTAAGCCCAGGACCAAAAACTTCACATTTCGTGCGTTTTCGGCACCGCGGGTCGCCCCTGTAGGGAAAGGAGGTTTCCGCGTCGTCCGGTTAAAATATGAAGCACTGATATTTAGTTCCTCTCTCCGTGCCCGCTGGTTTGCCCGAACCCCAAGAGACATGGAAACCGCAAAAAAGGTAGACGCTTAAATATGATTGCAGGGCCCCTTTAAGCCATTTGAGTTGTTATGAAACACCTTTAACACTTTCAACAACCTGGCACGTTAAAAGGTATGATACGTTCTTTCAACTATGGCAACATTCTGACAATCTTTTGACATGCCAGGTTGTTGAGAGTGTGTTAAAAGTGTTTCATGACAACTCAAATGGCTTAAAGTTCACTCACAAACTCTCGGACGGCCAGTTTCTCCACTTCCTAGACTTGAGACTGCAGTTCACGAGAAACCATGTGCGTTAGAGTTACCACCCCCGCTCCAAGAAGGGAATCCTCGTCTACGATTCGGCACACTCCAAATTAGTAAAAAGGGGCATTGTTTCGTTTTGTCACCAAGCGGCACTTCAGAAGTCATGCCACCGTGTTATGAGTGGCAGCTTCAGTCTGCAGGTTAATCAACTTAGAGATACCAGTTATCCAACTTCACTTTTGCTTGGAGTTGCTGAGACGCTGCTGAAAAAGATCACGGGCAAGTGTCAGGGTATAAAAGCAAAAACAAAAACGAGACTTCAGGTCATCCCCTACCTGCACAAAATTTCACATAACTTAAAAAAGGTGGCAAAAAGATTTGATCTGCCACTTGTGTTTTCGGCGCCATGTAAGTTGGCCCAATTTCGCCCGAGGATTCAGGAAAAAAAAAACGACGCGCGCTTATGCACTGTCAGTCATGCCAAAAGATTTGTAGATTACAACGTGGGCGTGGTGTACAGAATACGGCTGACATGCGGTAGGGTGTGCATCGGCCAGACAGGACGGTGCATAAATGAGAGAATGCGCGAGCATGACCTGTCTTTGCGCTCAACAACCGGAGGACACTTGCCTCTTCATTGCAGAGACTGTCTGTGACAGCCCAACTTTCAAAATACCACGATCGTGGGGAGGGCCCATGAAAAAGCTGCAAGCGAAGTGCTTGAAGCTCATGGTTTAAAGAAAGAGGGCACCAAAGGCTGCCTCAGCCAGCCATCAGTTTTCCTGCATCAAAAAGAGAGTGATTTTATTGACGCGTGGTGATGGAGGGACACCACTGAGTGATTCAGTGCATTTTTATGGAAGGTTGTTTGCCTTAGCTGTTTCTAAATAAATGTTCAGTTGAGAGTAAGCGCTCGTCCTGTTCGCCTCACTTTTTTTGTCCTCATGTTTGTATAGCGCTTCTAAATTTTATAAGTCATGAATTAACTTGCTTGCTTTGCCATTTTAGTAGCATAGGACCCCAGCAGTAAACAGAAGTGGCCATGGCTGACTGCCAGTCACTGCAGATGGTCTATACATGCCTTGCACATGAGGTCGTATGGCACTGTACCAGCCATCATTGTTAATTAATTGGGGTTGTACGGATATTTAAACAGCGTGTAGTTGGTCAGCCATTTTCAAAGTTGCGACGAGTCACTCGATGTAGATGAGCAATTTAGCCAGTGCAGTACAACCGCTAGTCTGAGGTCTTTAACGTGCATGCAGTAGTGATGCATGACTGCACGCCGGTGCAATGCTCATCTAGATCGAAACGGGTAGGGGTGGGGATTGAACCCAGGATCGCTGGGCTCATTGCTCCATACCCTGCTCCTGTGTCCGTACCTTCTGCAGCAAATATTTGGCACCATCGAATTTGTTTTTGGCAAGGCTTGCCGAGAAGAACAAATTCAACGATTCCAAATGTAGGCTGCAGAAGGTACGGATACAGGAGGAGGGTACAGAACAATGGCGGTGGGTGGGACATCAATGCAAGCTATGTATTGTCCGTTGCAACTCGAGAAGGTAGGGCGAGTGAAAGGAAGGCCAGCGAGGAGGAAGCAGACGAAATGCTGGAGAAAAGGGGGGAAAATGTCCTCTTCTCTTTAGCGTTTTGTCTGCTTCCTCCTCCCCATCCTTCCTTTTCCCCGCCCTGCATTCTTGGATTGCAACAGACTATAGTTAATGCAAAAACTATAGAACTTATCCAAAGTGCGAGAATTCTACGTGCAATGCTGCCTGAGGTTACAAAAATAAATGTTAATTGCACGCATTCTTGACAGATGGCACTGGAGGCACACAAGGTGTAGTGTAGATTGTAGTTACTAGATGGCGCAAGAGGCGATCCTCCTCTCTCGGCTACCCTTCATCCCCCAAAGTGCGATTCACGGGGAAGGCCCACTTTCGGGTCGGGAGAGCTCTTTGTAAGTAGACACCAGTCACTCTGATGACAGCCAGCTAGAGAGCTGGCTCTTGGGAGGGAAGTCGAGGAGCGACCCGCCACAGGATTTGACCGAGAGCAGGCGTAGCTGTGCGAGCCCTCTGTAGGGAGTAGCCGCCACCACCGCAACTGGACGCCAATGTAGTATGGTCTCTCGACCCTTTGTCGACTCAGTCTGTTTCCTTTGCGTGCTTCTGATTCTGGGTAGCTTTGCCGAGGCACGGCCTGCCAAGCTTGGCTCTCCGATCGAGCCACCGCCTTAAGACAAGTTGCGGTTGGAACACTATAGAAAAATGCTTGCCCGTACTTCCCCATATATTGTGCCATCATCATCTTTGTTTCATATTAAAGCCAGATAGAGGTGCCACAAGCCCAGTGTACAACAACGCTTTCAAATTCCACAACACCTGCAGGAGGTCCTCCTCTTTCAAGTGTTCGAATTGAAAAAAAAAAAAAATTTTTGTTCATTGACCTTGTAAGAGAATGTTGTCCTAGCAGCACACTGGGATGACCTAGACTCACTGACATGCGAGAGTAATTAACCGATAAAGAAGCCTTCTACTTGCATGTTCTACCTTTGCGGTTTTGAAGCCATTTCTGATTGCAACCTGTGTAGAGATCACTTGCACAGTGAAACCTTGGGCTCGTGTAGATTATTTCGTGGCCCTGTTGTAGTCTCATGTCCTCGACTCAACACAAGCACTCATGCAGAAAAGAATTTTTAATGTCATGCGCTCGCCGATCGCATAAAAAGTCAATGAAGACCTGATAAACATAGTTGAATCATGAGCCAAAATGTGCTCCTTTCTAATAGTGGTGCCACCCTGAAAGATCCTTCCAAGGTGTTTGGACAAGCATTTTTCCCAGTGTAAAGGAGGATATGGTCTAACCAAACATAAGATAGTTTGTACAAATGACAAAATAATTGCTGTTGCGGATAATCTCGAGAGTGGTACAGTTAAGCAAGTAATTGTCCAAGTTTTCTTGTTTTTGTGGCACAACTAGAAGGCTTTTATCAAAATTATTAGTGTGTGGACTATACTCATCTAGTGGAGTCTAACCTTTCAACTGTACTGCTGTTTTATTCTCGAATCACAAATAACATTGATTGTTTTTTTTCCCCTGACCTTTGTATGTTAAAATGTGGGGTCGATTACTGTTTTTTTTGCTATTGACCTCTCTTGGTTCCAGGAGCAGGATTATGTCTTACGGATCCTTGGAGTTCTCAAAAATATTGCGGACCAGGTGTTCTACCCAGTGGAGCATGTCACGTGGCTGGCAAAGAAGCAGATAATTAACATTCAAACTGACTCTTGGGAAGCTGCAGGGACCATCTTGTGGGCATTTTCCCTGTACTGTGGCATTGCAAGGTAGGCAACCCAGCATTCTTTTTAAGAGCCATGACATTATGGAGGTTTCTGGTTGTGGGAGATTTATGTACACCCTCCGGCAAGCCAGCTTCCACGTGGTCCACCATCAAGCAAACGGGACCAGGTCCGTTTGTTGGTTATGTGCTCAAAACATAAAAAGAACAAAAACAAAACAAAAGAAACATAAATACATAAAACTACTGAGGAGGGAAGTTATGCTCCTGTTTATCGAGCATTCAGTATATGCAAGGCCAGCTGCATCTGTTGACAACGGACGTGCTAACTACGGCAGCAGGTGAATTGTTCTGCACCACGCTGTTTACAAAGAGCTAGGCCTGACATGCAGACCGACGCCTGTTGTACCCGTGGCATCCACCATACAAATATCATACCTGTGCGGCCTTTCTCTTGCCCACGTCCTAGGCCGACGTCCAGGGGATGGAAAAGAGGCATCCCCGGTGCATCGTCTTTTATAACTGATCAGCAAACAAATATCTCGCAGCCACCACCAAAGGGTGCCAATTAGTGCCATCTATTGGTCGGAAGGGCAAACGGAGGTCAGGAGGCAACTTCTTTCTTCCGACTCGCCCCCCGACCACGAAGCCAGGGAGAGAGGCGCCCTCATGAAATCGTGGGGCGGCATATGATAGAGCTGTCTTTATATCCTACAAATGCTCAGTTAAAAAGAAGCTTACAAACTGTCAAAACAAAGATGAGAAACCACTTTTTTTTTTCTGATTTGTGACACATAATAATTTCACAATAAGAAGACCAAAACCACAAAGCCAGTGACATGTCTAAGTGGCCAAACAGGGGCTGGTAGAACTTGTCTCTGGTGTTCACTACCATATGAATGTTTGTAATGTTGAAGGAAAGAGACTGATCTGGTCGTGCCGAGCCCTCCGTGGAGTATGTGCCATCATAGCATGATCGTAAGCCCAGTCAGCTGCACTGGTGGCTCCGAGGCACGGTGTTGGTGTTTGAATTCCTAGCTGGTGGGTTTGAATTTGGGTCGCGTTTTATTGAAGGCTGCTTATTGTTGCAAAAACACCTTGACTAAGATGGTCATTTTCAGTTTTTTTGTTGTTGGGGTGCGCTAGAACCCTTTGTTGTTCTGGCACATAAACCGCCGAAATCTAATTTAGTACGTTGCCTGATCTTGAGACAAGGAAGCATATGGCAGGATAATCACTGATCAGTAATAACGACCGATAAATTAGGGAAGAAGATGCAGTCAATTTAAGATAATTTAGTATTCAGAGGGTTAAGAAGAGCCGTTAAGCTACTGTGGAGTGCGGCGATTTCAGGATATTAGTATTGTGACACTGTGTATATAATACAATATACTACTATACACGAGCTGCATGATGTTTGTACCTCAAACATGTTTTCAAGATATCTGGCTAAACCTTACCTCCCCAAAAATGTAAATCATTTTTTTTTGTCTTAGAAAAGCATGTGTCAAGCTGGAGCTTCATGCTAGTTCCCATTTCTTATTTTTCGAACAAGCATTGGTAACAATTGAACTATATATAGTATTTGCTTTTAACCAGACTTCTGAGACACCCTTATGACAAAATGGACATCAGCTATCTTACATCCTCGAATTTGTAAACAAAGGACCCCAGGCATAGTCAAGGTAATTATAACATTTAGGAGTAAAGCTGTCCATGTCTCGGCACCACTTGCTCTGCATTTATGCTTTTTATAGAGCTTCATGTGTTCTAACTTTAAAATGATGTTGGATGATTGGCTTATGCCTGAATAGAAAGAAATATCTTGCTGTAGCATGAGAAATGTGCAAATATATGCCCTAAGCATAAATGTGTCATTTATGTCCAGCCTTTATAATAAGTACCATAAAAGTGGTAGTTTGATAACTTCTGTTGCCATAAAACATCGTCCTTACATCATTTTTAGACTGTAATGAATGCTCAAAATAAACATGCTTTTGCTTATTAATCCACATTTTAGTGGTTAAGGGACCTGTGGCCCACAAAATATATCACAAAAGCACATCAGCTTGGGAACAATATTAATTAAAAATTTGAAAACCTGTTCATCACCAGGCATTATGTACTTAAATTGCCCCACATTAAGTTTAGTTACGCTGCATTTTTATTGTAGCAAAGTTTTTACTCTTTCTCTAGGTCTCTCCGAACCATCAACATCATTCAAAAGAAGCGAGAAAAGTTGTATGGCCTGAGTGATGACGTATGCAGGTAGGTACTGTTTTCATATTAGACCTTTAGACACGACAGCGACCCCTGTGGCAGTGGTCCTACAAAGAGACCACATAACGCAGGATACAAAGAAGGGTTCATTAAGAGACACCTGACATTACATACCATAGACAAGAAAGAAAAACAAAAATCAAAGATCCACTATTTTTATTTATATAATATCTTATAACTTGGAAGCTTGTGCCAAAAAGTTTGGTGTAGATGCAGTATTCAGTTCAGATTTCAAGTCTGCAATGGCAGCTGGTAAAGCCACCACTTCAGCAGCAGGCTGTTGACAAACTCAAATTGTTAAACACTAACAATACCACATCTCAATGTCCACGACTTGCTCAATTAAGAGCTACGACTGGCCAGGTTAAGGCAACTATTGGGACGGCTTCTTTAAGTTAGGCAGCATATTTTTTCTAAAGAGCACAAAAGTACAATTGTTTCACAACCCCAGTGAGGAAATTGGCTCCTGGATTACCTCGAGACAACCTTTTCAGATGCCTTTGACAAACCAAAACAGTGCAAGCAGTAAGCAAAGGAAAAGTTGGCTAGTCATCGTGAGGCCACCACTAAATCGTCCGCTTACTAAATCAAAAACATACTTTAGCTCTTCCACATTATTGATGCTTCGATGCTGGAAGGGAACTGCACTTGGAAGTTCTGCACAGGAGCTGGTTCATTATTGTTGCAAAATTGTCCCCTTCACTTCAACAACTCATAGATGAATGTAGGGAATATAAAGAACTTCAGAGCAATGTAAATTTCAAAGACACCATTTGAGTGCTTTTTCAAGGTAGAATGATCCTTATCCCTATTCTGCTCACTTGCAACCATAAACATCTGTAGCTACTGTGGGATAGTGCTGCTATCTATGAACACATAGGTTAACTAGCAGGTTTGCCCAAGACGCTGGCAACACGGGTAGAAATAGACGTTCTTCAAACATGGCTGCCTAAGCGTCGCACGTGTGTCTGTCTTGCTCCCGTAAGTTGCCCCTCACTACACAACACAACATGGTGACAGAAGTGGGATCGTGCTGAATCGCTTCAAGAATCAACCGGAAACGAAGTCACGCCTGACTCCTGACCATGGCCGACGGGACAGCCGCCAACGGTACACCCGGGACGGGCCCCCAGTCGGGATCCTTTGTTTTCCAACCACCGGAGCCATTTGTGTTCAGCAACCCCAACGAATGGCCCAAGTGGAAACGGCGCTTTTTACGGTTCCACAATGCGTCCGGACTAAGCAACAAACCCGAAGAGCATCAGGTAGACACTCTACTATGCATAATGGGCGACCAATCCGAAGACGTGTTCGCTTCGTTCCAACTCTCGGAAGAGGAGGCAGGCCGTTTCGAGACCATCATCGCCAGCTTCGACGGATACTTCATACCCCGGCGAAACGTGATATTCGAGCGAGCTCGATTTAACACGCGCGTCCAACAGGAAGGGGAGTCTGTGGAAGAATTCGCGACGGCGCTTCACAGCCTGTCAAAACACTGCGAATACGGCAAGATGCAAGAACAGTTCGTCCGAGACCGCCTTGTGGTAGGAATTCGTGACAAGAAGTTATCGGCCAAGCTCCAACTGGACTCGGATCTAACGCTACGCAAAGCACTCGAGTCCACCAGGCAAGTGGAAAGTGTTCGACAACAACAAGCGGAGCTGACGCAAGACGGGAAGTCGAACGGCAGTGTCAACAAGGTCTCCTCTGGGTCCAAGCAAGTTAAGCAGTCTTCCCGAGGCACAACCGGGGACAGAGCTACTCACACTACAGAAAAGTTCGCGGCTGCCGCGTCGAATTCCAAATCCACAGCTGTTCAAGAAAAGCAATCGTGCAACTGGTGCGGGCGGAAACGGCACTCGAGGAGGTCCTGTTCAGCTCGCTACGAAACGTGCAAAAACTGCGGCAAAAAAGGTCACTATGCTTCAGTTTGTCTCTCCAAACGGGTCAACCATGTCTCCGGTTCCGACGATGAGATCGGGTTCATCGGAGGTGTGTCGCATCCAGAAGCAGACAAGTGGGAGGCTACGGTGGTGCTTCAAGACGACCCTGTCAGCTTCAAAATTGATACAGGGGCTGATGAAACAGTCATCCCGACAAGCGTGTTCCGAAAAATCAAGCGGAAACCACTGCTTTAAGAACCACGACGGCAACTTCACGGCCCAGACGGCAGTCCCTTAGCAGTCCAAGGTGTGGCACAACTGACCATGACCTACAAAGGTTCGACATCCTTACAAGATGTCTACATCCTCGAGGACTTACGCACACCTCTGCTCGGCAGACCCGCCATTCAAGCGCTACAAGTGGTCTCTTTTGTGGACCGCCTTGCCACAAAGAACAGCCAAATTCACCGGAGCTCACATCTTGACGTGAAAAAGGAATTCCCAGCTCTCTTCAAAGGATTAGGCCACATCAAGGACGCCTACCACGTGCAGCTTCAAGACGGAGCGACTCCTTTTGCGGTGAGTTCCCCACGCCGTGTTCCTCTACCGTTGTACCAGCAAACCAAAGAAGAACTACAGCGGATGGAATCTATGGGGGTTATATCACCTGTCGATGGACCAACGGACTGGTGTGCTCCTTTGGTGGTAGTACCAAAGCCGGATGGTACGGTGAGGATTTGTGTAGATTTTACAAAGCTCAACTGCTACGTCAAGAGGGAATGGCACCCCATCACGTCTGTTGAAAACACGCTGGGACTTCTCCAAGGCGCAAGAGTGTTTTCCAAACTTGATGCCAACTCAGGGTTTTGGCAGATACCGCTCAGTGAAGAAAGTAAGAGTCCGACAACATTCATTTCACCATTCGGGAGGTTTTGTTTTAACAGACTTCCATTTGGTATCTCCTCTGCCCCGGAACATTTTCAGAAGCAGTTTTCAAGCATCCTGAACGGCATTGACAGGGCTGTCTGCCACATGGATGATGTCCTTGTTTGGGGCTCCAACCAGGAAGAGCACGACGAGAGGCTCCGTAGAGTGCTTCAGCGACTACAAGAGACGGGAGTCACACTCAACCATCGCAAGTGCTCCTTTCAAGTTGAGGAGATCACCTTCCTGGGCCACAAAATCGACCGCCAAGGGATCCGTCCAGATGATGCAAAGACCAAAGCAGTACGAGAAATGTGCCCTCCCACATCAAAGCCAGAACTCCAAAGAATGCTGGGAATGGCAACATACCTCGCCAGGTTTGTCCCTAACTTGGCTGACGTTCTTCAGCCACTGAGCTCCATGCTTAGCTCGAAGCAAGAATTTGTCTGGGGACCAAGCCAACAGACAGCCTTTGACAAGTGGAAGAGCATCCTGTCATCACAGCCTGTCCTCGGCGTCTACGATCCCGCATCAGAGACAGTGGTCACTGCGGATGCATCCTCTTATGGACTGGGTGCAGTACTGCGACAAAAGCGAAAAGATGGGAAGTTTCAAGTTATTGCTTATGCATCAAGGCTCCTGACTGAGACTGAAAGGCGATATGCCCAGATAGAGAAGGAGGGACTGGCACTTGTTTGGGCGTGTGAGAAGTACAGTGACTACCTTGTCGGCAAGGAGTTTACTTTAGAAACGGACCACAAGCCGTTGGTTCCCCTCTTCTCATCGAAGGCACTGGATGACCTCACCCCGAGGTTGCAGAGGTTGCATATGCGCATGATGTGCTACAAGTACAGCATCACCTATGTGCCAGGAAAGGAGCTGCTTGCTGCTGATGCACTCTCCAGATCGCCTCTCCAAGAAACTGGCTCATTGGACCTTGAGCAAGTGGTCGGCGCTTATGTCCGTCAAGTCAGAGCCAACATTCCTGTCAAAGAACCATGTCTTCAATGGCTTGTCAAGAACCAGAAAACGGATCCTGTATGCCAAGTATTGCGCAAGTACACTCAGCAGGCATGGCCCAGTCGCCGTGACCTCAACAAACATGTCAAACCCTTCTACGAGTTCCGGCATCAGTTCACACTGGAAGACGACATCCTGCTGTATACCGCAAGGATCGTCGTGCCTGTGCATTGCCAGCAAGATGCCTTACGTCTTCTACACAAAGCGCACTTTGGAATTGTCAAGACCCAGGCCAGAGCTAAACACTCTTTGTGGTGGCCTGGCATCAGCAGGGATGTTGAAGAGACTGTAAAGAGGTGCCAACGTTGCATCGAGAAGTCAAGCAACAGAAAGATGCCACTACTACCAACGGACTTCCCTGAAAGGCCATGGCAACGGGTGGCTATGGACCTGTTCTATCATCAGAACAAGTGGTGGCTCATCGTTACGGACTATTTCTCCAGGTACCCGGAAGTAGCACTGCTTAGCAATCTCGCCTCTGAAACAGTGATTGGCCACTGTAAGAGCATCTTTGCCCGCCACGGGATACCGGAGATTGTTGTGTCGGATAACGGTCCTCAGTTCTCGCGCGTGACAACGTCAGCATTCTCCGCATTTGCTCAAGAGTACGGCTTCCAACATATCACATCCAGTCCCCATTACCCGCAAAGCAACGGCCTGGCTGAAGCAGCTGTTAAGATCATCAAAAAATCGATGGAGAAAACTGGAGACCCATACAAGACACTACTCGCGTACAGGACTACACCACTAAACAATGGGTTCAGCCCAGCTGAACTGCTCATGGGAAGAAGACTCCGGTCCACGATCCCAACAGCCAAGAAGATGCTGGTTCCGTCAACTCCAGACATGACACAGCTACGAAAATACGAAGAAGAGCTTCGCGTGAAACAGCGCAAGGCCTATGATCGCCGACATCGAGTACAAGACCTTGCCGACATTGTCGACGAACAGAAGTCTGGGTCGTTGACCTGGAAAGAAGAGGAACAGTACACCGTCGCACTTCTGAGCCAAAATCTTACATCGTCGACACCCAAGAAGGCCCAGTCAGGAGGAACAGAACACATCTAATCCCTTGTTCGCCTTCTCCTGCCTCACCAAACCAATCGAAACCGTCAACAAGTGTGTCAGACGACGATGGTTCGGGAAAAGGTCAAACAAGAT